GACATCACAATGAGGCTGTAGTGAAATGCAACGATAAAGGCCAGCGAGAAATTCAAATATAAAGTATATTTTAATTGCTTCCAAACATGTAAAATGTTAAAAAAAGGAATGTCTTTAAGTTTAGTGTAAATTATTTAAGGAATCATGCATAAATTATCCCATGTTTCCCACTATTGTTGATGTCCCTGGCATACTGTGCTAACTAGACAGTGATTCCTTATATTTCCATTTCATTGTGAAATAGAATTGTAGATTTAGACTTTAAAAATGCAGACATCGATTTAAATTACACGAGGATTCCCATCCCAATTTCAATTGTCCTCTCACACTGACGTCAAACACAACGGCAGCCGCACAAGATTTTCATGCATATTTGGACTCCTTAGCGTCAGACTCAGAGACAGATGCGCACGAGATTTGCATGCATATTAGGCCTCCTTGGCACCTGACCTATTGACCTGCCTAATTTACATTCCGGTAGAATTATCAAGAAATTAACTTTCAAAGAGTTATCACAGAGTGAAAAATTAGAAATGGAAATATTGGTGTGTGAATCACACAGACTTGCACGTAGGCATATTTTTCGTGAAGCGCGCTATGCCTACGTGACAAGTCTGTGTGATTCACACACCAATAACTCACACAGAACTTAAAAACATTCCTTAAATATACATAACTTTGAAAAACGGCACCAGGAACACGTGGTTTGGTTGATTCTGAGTGAAAACAACACTTAAGGAATCACTGTCTAGTTTGTTGGGTATGACTGGGCATCAATGATAGTTGGAAACGTTGGATAACTAGTAATTTGCATAAGAAGCTCGTTATGCATAAATTATCCCACGTTTCCAACTATCGTTGATGTCACAGGCATACCCAACAAACTAGACAGTGATTCCTGATATCATTTCTGGTTAAAACCAGATGTGAATAAGATTTAAATCTTTGAATCGTGTACACCGATAGAAATCATACTTCATGTATTTTTAGAATTAAATTGCCATTAAAAACTTAATGTGCATCAAGTTAAATACCTACAAATACCTTTAATATCATCGATGTAAATACAAGGGAATTTTCCAATAAAGCCAATCTGGAAAAAAATTCCTAGTAAGCAAACGACTGTTGGAATTTTCCAGCAGCATGAACTCTGAAGCATGTCATTTTTTGCGAACATGGACGAGACTTTGTCGATATAAAACACCGCTTCCGTTGCAAATAAGGTTTTTAATTAATGTAGAACCTTTGAAGATACCCCCAATGGATAATTTTATTTAACATTTGAATTAGAGTCTGGTTCACCAAAGCTTTGAATAGAATTCAAAGGATATACAACAACGATTTAGAATGCATGGACATGTATGATTTAGTGCTAATCATATACTAGTAAAGGGTAAAAATATAAACATTCAGAAGAGAAAACCCACACTTTGAATTCAAAGAATTTTTGCTCTGCTTAGATGTTATTTTCTTTTTAGAGATACCCTAGAATTGAAATAGCTCTTTAAATCCACTTTAGGACATTAATTATACCAATACGTATACATTAAATACTTGCAAATATTCTCCGAAACGTGTGCACCATACTTCATACATGTACTTTAGTTATTTCTATGGCACGCCAAATTCACAAAAATGAGATAAACCTAGTTTCACAATTGATAAACTAGGTTTATCGACTGTAAACTATAGTTTACAAACCGTAAACTATAGTTAACGATTCGTTAAGTACAGTTTTCATCTGTAAAACTATATTTAACGGTTGTTGCGAATGATAATCTAAGTTTATCTGTCTGTAGTAAGCGTTAACAATAGATTTTGTTGATAAACATAGATTCACATTTGTAAACTATAGTTTACAATCGTAAACTATAGTTAAGAGTTGTTAATCATAGATTCACAAATCGTGAAACTATATTTATCAGATCGTTAACTTAGTTAACGGTTTGTAAACTATAGTTTACAAATAAACTGTATTTATCAGATAATCTATGTTTTGCAATCGCAAATGATTGTTTTCAGTGTTAAGTATAGTTTACGGTTGTGAAACATAGATTATCGCGTTATATAGTTTACAGATGTAAAATATAGATTAACAACTATAGTTTACGGTTTGTATATAGTTTACAACCGATAAACCTAGTTTATCGACTGTGAAACTATGTTTTGCTCATTTTTGTGAATTTGGCGTGCCATATATTTCTGTAATATTGCACTTTGTCTAGATAGAGTATACTATGTTTGCAAAATTAAGTCTACTTTCGTTTTCTATAAATATCTAGGAAAATAGCAAAATAAAGAAAGTATGATGGTGGATCCTGTAGATGGATCTATGTTATTGACAATATTTAATGAAACTGTCATCAAACATGAAAAAAGAAGAGAAAGAAAGAAAGAAAACGTCATTACCAAATTATTCAATCAAAATTAGAGTGATATGAAAGAAAGAAGTTATAATAATTGAATAAGGGTACTAAACGCAAGCAAAAATTTGATGCACGGATTGATATATATTTTTTGACTGATTTTGATTTAAAATGACATAACAAGAAAATCCCTAAAGTATAAAGAAATTGTAAGTATTCTTTGGTGCTCCGATCCGGTAGTTTGTTTCTCTTTCTATATATTTGTATTCAAATTTTGCACAACTTTATCAACCAAAATAGAAAATCTTGTATAATTTCCCCACTGTACCTGGTAAATATCAAAAGTCTATAAAACAATACAAAATAGGAGCAGACCAAACACGAACCTCCAAAACATCAGAGGTGGGAGCAGGTGCCATGGAGGAGTGAGCACCCACTAAAGATGTCCCACCTGCCGTGAGCGTCTTGTCACGATCGGGAAATAACGGAAGAATCCATCGACGATTCGGTGTGTATATAATGGCCTAAAAATTAGTATGAAAAACGTCAGTCAACATTTGATTTAATGATAAGTTGTATTTGCTGATCTTTTCATGACAAGATCATTGTATCGACCATCAATCTTACGAAATTATGACTTTCAACGAGACTGCTGATATTCTTTTCATCGATTACTTAGCATTTGCTTATTTACCTCATTTTAGACATATGTTAATACGTATACGTATGCTAGATTACCATTATCGTCTTTTTCAAGTAAAGTACGTATATAACGTCTTTTTCAAGTAAAATATATTACTAGTGTGTATAAATTCAAATATACATGCAGTCTTCTAGTGGGCGGGAACTGTTAAAATAAACACAGTAGGTCTCGTCTATTTTGAACCTTTTATACGGTATTTATTATTTATATTATAACTTTTTTCACATATGAAAATTTAAATATAAGGAATCACTGTCTAGTTTGCTGGATGTGACGGGGACTTCATTGGTGGTTTGAAACGTACGTGGAATAATTTGTGCAAAACGGGCTTCTCCCGTTATGCAAATTACCACACGTTTTCAACTATCTTTGATACATTGGCATATATACCCAAAAACTAGACAGTCATCAACTGGCTGGTTCTATGCTCGGCACAATGATCTATTCAGCAAATGCAATCCATTTTTGCAAGTCAAATGCGTTTTTATACGAAATATTAGGTCATTATTAATATTCACACTGAATGACGGGATTTTCCGTTATTTCACGATCATGACAAGGAGCACACGGCGGGTGTAACCGGTCGACCGAGATGCTCACTCCTCCATGGCACCTGATCCCATCTCTGACGTTGTAGAGGTCCGCGTTTGCTCCAGACTGCTCCTGTTTTGTGTAGTTGGAATGGGCTTTTGGGTTTGCAATTGACTACTTTTCTTTATCACCATATATCACTGAATGAAATCAGAGAATGCGACTGATCATGGATTAGCTGTTCTTCAGAGAAGGTTTTAAAATCCCCCCCCCCCCCAAAAAAACCCTGAAAAACTATGCTCATTAATTCTGGTCTTTTGAAATGATTAATCACGGTTTTGATGCTCTTTTCCTCATAAAATTGTATATAAAACTTTGCCTATTGAGGATCAATCCTATCCCCTGAAAACTGTAATATGCATTACTTTAATTGCATCTTTATTAAATATTACTACAAAACTTTATCATATGCTAAACGTGATGACTTTAACTTTTTTATTATCATCGACTTCCCTTCTTTATGTAGCAGCAATATAAAAATACACTTATCGCCGCATTTGGAGCGTTTGACCCCTAGCTGATTCAATACGCAAGAGTATACTCTACTTACGAACAATTTCTAAAATAAGGCAAGCTATTGACAAGCAAGTTGATGAGACAAAGGTATTAACAGTCTCGTCTACTGTCAACATTTCGCAAAATACTATCATGGTCGCTACAATGACTTGTCAGCAAATATAATCTACCATTCAGTCGAATGTTGACTGATGTTTTTCATACTAATTATTAAGCCATTTTTTTCCGTTTGACCAAAGACATAGAATAACATTTATGGTGCCTGTTCATATCTTTAAAAATGTTTTTAGAGGTCTGTGTTTATTCTTGCTCTGAATCTGACATTCTTCATTGTACTTTTGGTCTTGACTACTGTTCGTTTTCTCCATATTTCATAAGTAAGGTGTGCATATTTATTCACTTCTTTTATCCCTAATATGTATATATACAACAGGTATCAACATCATGAAAGTGATAGTTTTCCATTGAAAGTTTAGCTCTTTCTTCTTGCCATAAAACAGTAACTAACTGTCAGTCTGTCAGTAGAACAGGAATTATTCCGTCAGCCATTTGAAAGAGTTCCTTTCCCGTGCTAGTAAGGGCTTTCATCGAGTTTCTAGTAAATTCTTTTTAGCATAATTTTTTGTCCAACCCCCCTCTATATCTCTCTGCATTTTTAGATTAAGAAAAGGCAAAAACAACACATGTTTAGTTCAAAATATAGTTTTATATATTTGAATCATATAGAACTCCGATAGATTGACGTCATCTGCTATTAATAACACGATTGCTTTTGCTGGTGTAGCCACGCCTGAATTACCACAGGTATTCCCAGGTAAATTAACAAAAGGTGAATAGACTGTATCCTAATTTTGAGTTCAATGGTACGTCTGTAAAATATGCCGGAAGTGTCTTGTCATGGTCACTTTTAGGTGTGAATTTTGCAGCAAGGTATACACAGTTTCCCAAAGTGACTAATGATGAATTAAACAAGAAGGATTAATAAGGGATTAAGACAAATGTCGGGTTTACGGCGAAAGGTAAGTCAAGTGTAAAATGTTTAATCAGCGCATTTGAATAGGCGTCCCCAGTCAATCAGCTGTTCATGACGGTTATTTTTTGTTCCTCGTTTAAAACGAACATGAAGTGTATAAAGGGAAGATGTGATTATAGACGCATTAGATGCCGCCATAATTACAAGATTATACAAAATTTCTTTTATTTTTTACAGAGTACGAAATATTTTTAAATCAAAAACATCAGTTACAAACTTTTAATTGGATATGGATTTTGTGGTAAACCGAAACCATAAGATATTTAACTTTAAACGATTAGCATGATGTGGGTAGCATTAAAATGCTTTTATTTTTCAAGCTTTGATCAACATAATCAATCGATAATCATGTGTTTGTCATACCCTGGACCAACAAAGTCGTCACGCTCTAATTAACAAAAGGACTGTACCCGTAACAAACGAGAAAAAAAGCCTTTGCTTTTAAAGGTTGACTTAAGGACATCGTGTTTCAATTTCCATAAATTTTTGCATTGATCATGTTGATAAGAATATTCTGTTTCATCATTTACATTTATGAAAAAGCTAAAAAAGCAAATCTGGCATGTGGTGACAAAATAAAGCTTATAACCAGGGACTCTTAGTACATGTATATGTGTCCCTGTTATAACGTTGGAAGAATAATAATGGTTGTTTGACCAAAATCGTTTGTCATAAGCTTTAAATTAAATTTGTTTTAAAACTAAACCCCTCCCCCACTGGTTCATCAAACTAGACAATATAAAAATCGAAATATACATGTTTGTATGTTGTTGTTTGTAACCAAACTCGGCGTTGAATAATGCATGGGATACGTCCATGTAATTTGATTACGAATTGTTGACAACGAAAGAGCCACATCACTGATATAACCAAAAAGACACCAAAGAATCCGTCTGTACTGTACCACAGGCCTTTAGATCGCTTAGAAAAAAAATTGAGGTGTTAAAATTTTTTTTTTACACACAATTTTTTTTCAAGCGACCCAAAAGCCTGTGTACTGTACTAACCACAAACGACATTGACCAACATACCTTTTTTCTTATATACAGAGAGAGAGACACAAATAGGTTTTTATTCTGACTGAAAAATTTAAAAAAAATTGTTTTGGGGATTTTTCATAAAAAATAAAATGTGAAATGCACGCCCATCAGGTATGATTTTGCATTATTATTCAATAATATTTGGTTGGCTGGTTGGCAATCAATGAAAATCTTTGAGGCAATATTTTATGATTTCATACATATTATTATTTTTACAATTATTAAAGTTTTATGCTATTTCTGCAATTAAAATTACCAAATATAATACAGGAAAAATGGGAGTCCAGTATGTCGGACGTGACCTCCAACGGGAATGCTGGGGACACGGGAAGTCTGGGTCCCCCCGATCTCATGACCAACAACATCGACCCGGGGATCTACAGAAATAACGGCAAGGCGGCCAATGGGGCTTCACAGGTATGGTCTATTGAAAGGATGAAGATGTATAAAATATCAACTGACCGTACTAGTAAGTTTTATAAAATATCAGGCAAAGAAATCTGGAATCTTCATCAAAGTTTAAGATTATTTTTTGTTATACCCTTATAAATATCGTTCTATATATTTATTACTTATAAAAAGTCCAACAAAAGAACTATTTATTACGTCGGTCTAACAATTTCACTATTGACCGGTCTTACATAAGAATTGTTAGACCGCAACGTCACTCGTCTGTTACGTCACAATTAATTAATCATGGTGAAATATCGGCGACGCGAAAATAGCCGAAGTTAAGAGCTACAAGAGTTGTTGCTAACAGCTAGGTAAGAAAGAAGGGAAGAGTATATTTTGTGATAAATAATTTTTGTGATACAATAGATTTATAATTGATTTTTTTTCTTTCTCAGCTTGATGTTTTATATTTACTGAAGAAGTCATCATTTTCCATACAAAATAATTGATAATATAGCGTGTATTGATTAAATTGATCACTCTTAAGTGAGCAGTGAAGGGTATAACAAAACAGTTATAGACTTCGGGCAACATATGATTTGTTGGACCTGAAGGTGAAAATGTTGCCCTTGGCCTGCGGCCTCGGGCAACATTTTCACCTTCAGGTCCAACAAATCATATGTTGCCCTCATACCCAGTCAATAACTGTATAATGTATTTCAGTTATTTTACTCTTACAAAAAATAACATTACAGGCATTATTGAAACATTTTCAATGGGCAAACAATATCTTCAAATGATAGCCAATTTAATAAAACCATGGAAAAATAAACCTTTCACAATTAAACTTGGACTTTTTCTCTTAGATTCTAAAATCAAATGTAAAGATAATGTAAAAACAAATTTGTAGGTTACCATAGCAACAGAGGATACAGAAGACAGCAGAAAGCAGATGTTTGGTAAAGACGAAAACGAAGAACGCGGAAACTGGACCGGAAGATTTGACTTTCTTCTCTCAATGCTGGGATACGCCGTTGGTCTTGGCAACGTTTGGAGATTTCCCTATTTATGTTACCGAAATGGAGGTGGGGCCTTTTTAATTCCCTTCATTTTGATGATGATACTAATTGGAGTACCCCTATTTTTTATGGAAGCATCGCTAGGACAATTTTGTAGCAGTGGTCCTCTCACATGTTGGAAATTTGCACCGCTTTTCAAAGGCAAGTAAATTTTTATATAAAACACGTGTGTTCGAAAGAGACTCTTTCGTTTGGTGACTAACGAGGGCTGTTCAATAAATAATGTCCTGAACTGTATGACATACAACACAGCTATCGTATGACATTAAGCTTGACTTTCACTCATGGTTGAATCTTTAATGAATTGATATTAGTTTATGTGACCACTTTTCATCTCATATTTTCATTGTGAGAAGCTGGAAAACCAGGGCTATTCGAAACACTGCATTGAAAATGAATGGTAAAGAATCAATAAACTAGAATGAAATTAAACTCTCAATTAAAGCTGCTTTAAAACTTTTTAAGTATCCCAAAGAAATATTCACTGAAATTTATGAAATTTACAGCAACCAATTTCTCTTTTATAGACACATGAGCAGGTGGATTTCAAAAGCAATAATGATATAACGGGCATCAAAAAATGGGCACCGTATTTGGCGACAAGCACTTAAAACAACCAATGTTCTTTTTGTCAAAATTCAACAAATTATCACTTATGATGTTATGATTGACTACAAGACACATGGCAAATTTAATAGGCATCAATTTGGGGAGTTGTTCACACTACATGTATTTGAAAGAATCATTTAACAGAAAAAAGCTTAGCAGGCACTCAATGGTCACCCTTTGTTTTGAAAAATGAGTGAAAACGACAGCGTGTAAGAATATCTAAACAATTATCTTTAAAAGTCAGAAACTGTAGTTACGTCCACATTTGTCTGAAATTCAAACAGATAATAAAGCTTGAATCCATAGCTTTAAACCTCAAAACGAACCAGCAATAAGATGCACTTGACAAAAACAGCAAAGGTCTGAAAAGAGCAAAGAATTACTAGAGGGCAACGACAGTTTTATATGCCATTTTCTTAAATATTAGTGGTCTTGTTGTTCAAATTCATATTCAGGAAGGCATTTCAATTTCTGGAGGAGTCTAGAAAGCAAAAGTTTTGAAAAAAAAATCGAAAGGGTTATGAGAAAATGGAACCAGAATCAGGAATCCAGTACATTAAATTTCTTCATGACAGCGTCCAAAACCACACTCCCAGAAGAGTAAAGGTGTTTTAGGGATAAACAGAAAGTTAATGTCACATCAGTGAAATTCACCAGATCTGTCACACTTTGACTTGGTTAATTTTCCAAACTTGAAAAAAAAACACCTTTCCGAAAGAAGAAACAAGTTCTGGAAATCATAAGAAATGCCATATTCCAGTATACGAAGGGTCATACTCAAAGATGAGTTATAAAACAATCAGATATTGGATAAAAATGTTACAGACATTATTTTTTTTATTAAAAGAGGATATCTAAGTTAAATGATTTAGACTAAATCATCGAAAAGCGTCTTTTGCTTCTTTCCGAGCACCGAGGACAATATACTAGTACTAGTACTGAACAGCCCTCGTATTGTTGGAAGACAAGTACAAGATATACAAAAATATCGCAACTGTTCAACAATTCACCAAACGTTGTTAATAAAAATCTCTGCTTTTTTGAATACAAAAAAGGAAAAATAAGTACATTGTATATACACAATTTGAAAATGGAACGTTATAAATAAAAATACTTCATTAATGTTGTGGCTGACAAGTTTACATCAGGAAAGAAAAGTAGAAATATTGCCAATCGATAAAATACAATAATATGATAATACAAAATTATGCTATATACGATTAAAACGTATTTTTAAAAATTAAAATAATAATTTTAAGAAATAACATGTAAAATATAATAATTTTCATTTGTAGGCGTAGGAATATCAATGGTGGCGGTATCTGCTCTGACGTCACTATATTACAACATGATCCTGGCCTGGTCCTACTATTATTTCTTTGCTTCCTTCACCAGTGACCTGCCATGGATAAAATGTGAAAACAACTGGAACACCAGAGGTAAACGCCCGTTGAAATTATACATTATTGCTTTATAATGGTCCAAACTATTGCTAAAATTGTTAAAGATCAAATTCAAAGTTGGTGTTCATGCTCATAAGTACAATAAAATAACACAGGTTATGAGGAGAACAAACAAGGATCTGGGAATCATCAGAGGTAGGATCAGGTGCCATGTATATTGTTGCTCACAGTACCTCTCCTTAAATTTTTAGGGAAAAAATTAAAATGAAATATATTGAGATAACGAACATCATTCAACCTCAAACATCCATTCAAAAAATACAAATCAAGAGCAGAGCAAACAGAAATCCAAAACATCAGAGCTGGGATAACGTGTCATGGAGGATGAGCATCCCCCGTCACCCGCTCACATCGGCCATGTGCTCCTTGTCTTGATCGGGAAACAAAAAGAAAAATCCGTTGACAATTCAATGAGTAAAAAATGGTTTAACAATTAGCATAAAAGTGTCATCATTTGATTTAATTTTTGTATTACGAGTGTTGTTCGAAAAGTTCGTGGACTGCTGTCATATCTTTTTTTTTATTAAACGTCATATGCTAACAAAATTTGGTAGGAATATTTTAACAATAAATCCAAATTATTTGTATTGAACATTTTTATATTATCATGCTAAATTTCAAACCTATCCAGAATTTAAAACTGCAAAAATCGGATCGCAGAGCAGGTCTAAATTTGGTAATTCACAAACAGAACACGGAATAAATAATTATGGCAATGTCTGTAGTCATATTCTCTGTAAAATGGAGCAAAAAAAAAAAAAAATAAACAAACAAACAAACAAACAAACAAAAATCGTCGACTCTGAAAGTAAGAACTGTTACATTGATTCATTTTCGAAATTATTGCTTAATATTTTGATTCGTTTTTAAGGAAATCAATTTGGGAAGATAGGTAGTTCTCGATGAAAGCGACAAAAATGATGACGTCGTTGAACGTAACAGAGCAGCAGATAACGATTCAATTTTGTGTAATACTCGGGAAAAACCCTGAATAAACTCCATATATGTTAAACGAATAAAAAAAGTCACAATTTAAAAGTCGTGCATGTGTTTATAAATGTACAGACGATATTTGAGTGACGAAGACTGTATCCGACGAGGACAATCTGTGAAGAAACGGTTAATCTGATAAAATCTGATCAAAAACTAAAACATATGTAACGTCATGGAAAGACATAGCGCTTCCGAGTTGCAGATCTTGTAAAAGCACAGCTAATTATAAGTGGTAAAAGAAGGAGATATGGAGATAACGAACAGTATTCAATATCAAAAGTCCATAAAACAGTACAAAATAGGAGCAGAGCAAACACGGACCTCCGAAACATCAGAGGTGGATCAGGTGCCATGGAGGAGTTAGCATCCCCTGCCGACCGGTCACACCCACCGTGTGCTCTTTGTCATGATCGGGAAATAACGGGAAAATCCGTCATCAGTTCAGTGTATAAATAATGGACTAACAATTAGTATGAAAAACGTCAGTCAGCATCTAAGCATTGACAAAGAAAATTTTACAACGAGAACAATTGTCATAAAATGAATTTCAAGTGCTAGAAAAGGGTTTTTAACAAATGATTATTGAACTAAACTGTTGAAATATATAGGGTTAGTATTTTTAGGAAATTCTTGAGGCTATGTTTAAAACGTTACACCGTCGGATGCTCTGCGGGTACAAAACATGTTGATTTGTAAATGAAGTTAATTGATTTCTATGAAATCGAATGAAATGAAACTTCACTCATCAACAAAACAAATATTTTTATACATCATATTGAGCTTAATTTAAATTTCTTGAAAGCAGCATAACGAATTTAAGATTGAAATCGTCCACGAACTTTTCGAACAACCCTCGTATTTTGCTGCCAAGGTCAATGTATTGACCACAGAATTAAAAAAAATTTTAATTTTGCATCCTATGATACATTTATTGCAGACTGCAGTACAAAGCTACCTTTGACAGAATGCACCACTGGGCAGAAATATACTAACGGAACTTGTTACGATGGTGACACTTTTGTTGGATTATGGGATGCTAAAAAGTTTACCAATGCAACCGGCCGGAAGCGGAAACTAGCATCAGAAGAATACTGGGAGTAAGATTACATATAAAATGTTTATTCTATCTGGCATAGATTGTTTTCTTAGATAAGTAGATGAAAATATGTGTAATTTCGTTTCTTTCGAATTCCTGTGGAAGCAGATTTTTTTTTTTTTTCAATTTTAGTTAAGAAATGATTATTATAGTCTTGGCTTAATTATAATCATTTCCCATATTTAAAATATATGTAGTTAAACTAGTATCATTAATAGACCTCGATCATGATTCAGTATATAAATTATTTTTTTTGAAAATATGCAGTAAATCGGTAAAATTTAGGAATACGTGAAAGACAATTTCAACTTTTTATTCACCCGTTTACCAAATCTGACATTTTATTTGCATAACTTAAATTCAAGCACAATTTTTGAAGCATAAGACAAAAATGCAGAGGCTGACAAGAATACTCGATAACCATTGGCCAGTTATCCGAGTTTGTAGAGCACCTAATTTATAGGGAGAAAGGAATGAATCCTGGCCGGGTCCACTTTTATCCCGTGCTGTTTACAGTAGCCAATATTGAAACAAGTGCCATGGGACACGATTTGAACGAAGATGGTTAAATCTTTACCTCCTTTTTCAGAAAAGTTGCTCTAGACCAGAGTTCTGGAATTGAAGAGTTCGGTCAGCCTAAGTGGGACCTGGTGCTGTGTCTTATGTTTGCCTGGTTCATCTGTTTCTTATGTCTCATAAAAGGAATCAAATCTACTGGAAAGGTACTTACCCACAATGCATTTCTCGGAAATTTGAAGTTGTCGTCTTGACAAGTCAAAAATAAAGTCGGCATTTTATAGAAAAAAGGACAATAATTTTCTTTTAGTTATACTTTGTGTTTCATACTTTTTGAATTTAACAAACTCTCCTCTGATATTCATTTAATGAAATGATATGCTGGAGATTGTACCAAAATTTGGTTTTGAAATCATATATTTTTCATATATTTCGTAGTTTTTGTTCATGAAAGAAATAATATACAGTGGAGCCTCATTTATCCGGACGCTAAGTTACATTTTAATGTTAACATTTAAAAAATCCGTTCCCAAAAAATCGTAACATTATATGATCCACTGTAAATTATTATATATGTTATAAGTAACATTATATGATCAATTTTATATATTATTTTATCTTAAAAACCACAGCATTAAAAATATATTTAAAAAGTATGTTTCACCTTTCGTCCTCTCTTATGCAAAATTAGCTAAAAGAATTACTACGTATTCAAAAGACTTATTTGTACAGGTTGTTTATTTCACCGCCATCTTCCCTTATGTGGTCCTGTTGATCCTTTTCTTTAATGGTGTATTCCTGAGTAACGCTGGAGAAGGCATCTATTACTACATAGTGCCAGATTTTGAGCGGCTTCTTGACCCCCGGGTAAGTGGATCATATGTGATGCCTTATTACATTTAGATCACTTGTTAGATGGATTCATCTGGGTTATCCATTCAGTCCATTAGCGATGCATCTGTCAATGAAGACAAGTATATGGTGACATGTATATGCTGCTGAAGTTAATAGATTACTTGTATGAGTTAATTACTGGTATCGTTGCTGAAATTTTAAAGATACAATGCTCTTTAGAATGATTCGAGCCTATCTAGATTGTTTAAGAAACAAAGATTTGGAAATCACAATAAGGATTATATTAAAATACTGCATCTGAACCTTTTCCCTAACGAAACTTTACATTTGTTTTTTAATGGTCATGGCCAGAATTTAGACAACTTATTTAATGTTATATGTCAGGTTTGGAAAGATGCAGCTGTCCAGATATTTTTCTCAATGTCCATAGCAGGAGGAGGGCTGGTTACACTCTCCAGTTACAACCGATTCCATAACAACATTTTAAAGTAAGTAACACCCTCCTTAAGATCCATATCTGATGCACCTTGATTTGCTCTAATCCGAAAGAATTTTGTGACCTTGAAATCGAAAAAGGTTAACAAAGTTAATCTTGCTCATAATGCTAGTATTTAAAGTAACTAACATGGATTCGCCCAAAGAAATCTATTAATTCGAAAAAAGTGTTTTATTCTAATTCAAGGTCAATTGAACAATAATATATAGGCAGTGTAAAAAAAAATAACTTGGTTTCGTTCTCATATGTAAAATATGAAGTTACAGAAATGATCGGTAATCGTGCTCAAAATTCAATTGAAATAGTACAATTGTGCACAAAGGAAACATGAACCTCGATAATTACAGATGGTGCCTTGATTGTTGATTTGTTAAACCGGAGAAGCGCTCTTTGTCGTGATGGAGTAAACAGGGATATCCAAAGAATATAGAATATATGATATACATGTACATGTATATACGAGGGTTGCTCGTAAAGCTCATGAACTCATATCTTTTGTTTAAGTAAGATGATGATGATACAAACAACTTTTTTTTCTTTAGAGGAGACTTAATATCGTGTGCCAAGTTTAGAAAAGTGGAACTAAGAACTGAAAAATGAAATAGACTTGGAAAATATTAATTTCAATATCATTACAAATATGGACAAAACACACTCAGGTTTACAGATGAAAACAAAATTCAGAATATGTTACCTTGGTGCTAAAAGTGTAATACAAACTTTAGAAAAATATACCAAGCCAGATGAATTTTATTAGGGAAAGCAAAATGGTAAAAATCAGCCTATATGATATTGCTGATTTTTTGTCATTTTGTTTCTCCTTATAAAATTCATTCACTATTTTTCTAAAGTTTTTATTACACTTTTAGCACCAAGTTAACATGCTTTGAATTTTTTTTCACCTGTAAACCTTTACTGAGTGTTATTTTATATTTGTGTTTTTATTGAAATATTACTGATATTTTCCAAGTTTATTTTATTTTCCGGTTCTTAGGAGAAGAAATTCTAAGAAGTATCCACTTTTCTAAACTTGTGACATGATATTAAGTCTCCTTCAAAGAAAAAAAATTGTTTGTATCATCTGTCCTTAATGTCACGTGCAATCCAAATTTGGTAGAAATATTTTAACAATAAATTCAAACGATTTGTATCAGAAACTTTAAAATTATCAAAAAGTTTTTTCAAAGCTACCCAGAATTTAAAAAACTGCAAAAATCGGACCGCGGAGCATGCAAGTCAACTCTTAGTCAGTCACAAACAATACACTAAATAAAATATCTGTAGTTATATTCTCTCTAAAATGAAACAAAAATGAAAATAAATCCTATAAATCCTACACTTTTAAATTAAGAATTGTTACATTGATTCATATTCCAAATAATGGCTTAATATTTTGCTTCGATGAAAAGAAATCGGTTTGAGGAGATAGGCAGTCCTCACTGAAAGCGAAAAAAAATGACGCTGTTGAACGTCACGGAGCAACCAGATATTGATGCAATTTTGTGTTTGAAATATATTAGGAGGGAAATCCTGATAAACTCGAAAAATGTCAAAGGTGAAAGAAAATATCACAGGTAAGCCATGCATGTATTTATAAATCGTACAGGTGGTATTTGATTGACAGAGATTCAGTATCGTGCGAAGACAATCTGTGAAAAAAAAACGGTTTATCTGGTAAAATCTGAAAAAAAAACTTTAAAAAGTTGGAACGTCATTGAAAAACATAAGTGCTTCGAATAGTTGCTGATCTTATGAAAGCACAGTTAAGTGGTAAAAGAAATTAATACATCGACAAACGAAATTATACAACGAGAACAATTGCTAGAAAAATAAATGTCAAGTGCTAGAATATGGGTTTAAATAAGTGATTATTGAACATACTGTGTGTGAAAAAAAATAATGGTAACATAGTATGATATTGTCTCGAAAACAATAATGGTAACAACGTGTTATATGGCCTTGAAAAAAAAATTATGGAAACAAAGTGTTACATGGTCTTGAAAAAAATGGTACCAAAGTGTGACATGCCCTTGAAAAAAGAAAAGGTTACAGGGTGTGATATGACCTTGAAAAAATAGTACTAACAGAGTGTTATATGGCTTTGAAAAAAGTAATTATAAAAGAGTGTGATATGGGCTTAAAAAAAGTGAAGGTAACAGAGTGTGATATTGCCTTGAAAAAAATAAGGTAACATAGTGTGATATTGCCTTTAAAAAGTAAAAGTAACAGAGTGGGATATGGCCTTGGAAAAAAAATAATGATAACAAAGTGTGATAATGCCTTATCAATGTTATGATTACAGAATGTGGTATTGCCTTAAAAAGGTATTAATTTAAACAATATTTTATTCACAGATGTTGTCGTGAAAAAGGTATGATAACAGTGTTATACTAGTATTGCAATGAAAAGGTTAATGATAACAGAATATGATATACCTTTAAATAAGAAAGGTACTACAGTGTAGTAACGACAAAATATTGTGCGTGGATAAGGTAATATTAACAGAGTGCAATATGTCTGAAATAAGTAATGGTAACATAGTGTGATATACATCCATGGTATTGAGGAATAATACAGACTTCACGATTTATTGTAGAGATTCCATCATTGTCAGTGTTGGAGATACACTAACCTGTATATTCGCTGGATTTGTCATCTTTTCTTACCTTGGTCATATGGCGGGTGAACTCAATGCCAAAGTTGGAGATGTGGCACAAGACGGTATATAATTTTGTTTGTATAGATACGTGTTGATTTACAATGCACAACGTTCATATTGTAAATGATACTGCAATTTATGAAAACAATTTTAATTGCGAGCACTAAGGAGGCAAACAATCTTACTTTACAAAAGTTCAATATATTACTTACTGCGTTTATCATCTTTACACATTCAAAACCATGATGAGTATACCATAATCTCGGCTACATCATATTCATCCTAAAGGTCGCTTTGTCCCCTTTTCAGGTGCTGGACTGGCGTTTGTGGTTTATCCCACAGCTGTGGCCAGTCTTCCCGCCTCGCCGTTCTGGTCAGCCCTCTTCTTTTTCATGCTTATTACATTAGGACTGGACAGCCAGGTACAATCTTCAGTCAAGTTTTGAAATGAGAAAAGAAATTACTACAAATTATACATGTATATGAAAGTGAACCATTGAATTTTGAACAATTTCGTAAGACCCAACACTACAAAGGTCCTCATGTTTGCACTTTATTTTATACTGGTATCTTAGGAAAAATACATTTAAAATGTTTTCGAATGTTTAAAATAGTATATGCTTTATTGTTTTCTCCCAAAATTTCAATGAGCAAAAACATACAAATAGCTGATCATGACTCAAAGTAAATGAAAAAAAAACCTTACGGACATATTTTGGTACTTTTGACAATAATTATACACTCTGAACAGTTCGCCATGTTGGAGACAGTGTTGACGGGAGTCATGGACCAGTATCCGGTGCTGAGGCCCCATAAAACCCTCGTTATTCTCGTCATCTGTATCGTCTTCTTCATCATCGGATTACCTCTCTGCTGTCCGGTAAGTGTTTCGTGATCTTGTGAATTTGCCTCTTGATTGGTATACTGTGGTTCGATCAATATTCGTTGAGCACCAATTTTCAAGTATTTCATTGTTAAGCAGATCCACAAATTCAAATGTTCATTGAATTAAGAAAAATGATATTCATTTGTATAGACAATGCTTTTGTCAATTGCTGATTGACGTTTTTCATACTACTTTTTAGTACAGTATATATATGAAATTATGTATCTTTGAAAACGTCTGTTTTCCAAAATCCACGAAGATTTATGCCAAGGAAAACTGATGAAACCACAGTAATTGTTTCACCTGTCTGTAACACAAAATTGAGTTAGCAAAAAGTTATTTGCAGGTTCTTATATAGAACAAATTAATAAAGGACTTATGTATGCTTTATACTACATGTAGTGCATTGCTTCAGTTTACAGTTAGACCTCTCTACTCAATAAACTTATGTTCATCTGAGAGTAAATTTAAATCCATATCAAATTTGAAAGAATGTTCTCTTTCAAGCATTATATGACAGAGGTACAATGTACTTTCTTCAATGATTTGTACTATATTCTTTGAATAATTCTTGAATGAGACACTTGAGGAATTATAATATGATGATGAATACATATATTTTTGAATGTATCCTTTTGATATTTAGGGAGGTGTGTACCTGTTACAAATACTCGATAATTATGTAGGAGGATGGACTCTCTTAATTATAGGATTTGCAGAGTGTATATGTATTACGTATATATATGGTAGGTATAAGTTTCTATTTCCTCTCGCTCTCACTCTCTCTCTTTTCAATGGTAAAACAATTATTGTTTCTATGACATACATGTATCTGCCTAAATAATTTTTTTACAGGAGTAAATAGATTCATAAAAGACATAGAGCTTATGTTAGGATTGAAGATGTTCATCTGGTGGAAAATTTGCTGGATGATTTTAAGTCCCATAGCATTAGTGGTGAGAATAAATCATATGTGTTATTTTCAGACCTGTAAACATTGAGAACAGACGCCGAATTAAAAAAAAAAGGAAAAATGTCAAAATATATCAGATCTTTTGATTCTTATCTTTCTCTACTTCTACTTGAATTTTTTCTAAGTTTTTTTGTTCTGTTTTTTTTTTCGTGACGCTGTTTAGTTTTTGAAATGTTAAAAACTAGCGCATGTATCATTTAAATACTAAGTATTTTATTCGATGAAGAATTAATCTAAATAACTACTTTTCTGATCACTTTTAGGAATTACTTATAATTTGTTATTATTTATTTTTTTTTAAATAAACATTTTTATCAAATATAAGATTTTACCATCTTATTACTCCTTTTTAGTTAATATTCATCGCCACTTTTATTGACTACGAGGCCTCGACGTACGGGGACTACACGTTTCCGGCCTGGGCGGACGGTCTTGGCTGGTTCATGGCGGTAGCCATCATAGCAGCTATCCCCATCACAATGTTGTATCAGATCAACAGGGAAGACGAGGACACGTCAATCTGGGAAGTCAGTTTCAATTGGTCTTTGATTTTTTTTTTTCAAAATCATAAACATGAATTCACGATTGAAATTTTCGGTCCCAATAGAGAGTTAAGTTAAGAAGAATGTCAATTAATTTTCGCTTTAATTGATATAAAAAAAAATATGTTTAAAAAAAAATTACTGAAGTTTTACACTTTTGTAAAATATTTTTTTCACTAAAGTCAAAACGATATTTTGGTTGTGCAAATATGTAGCTCTCTTTTTACATGAATAATATGCAGAGGAAGAGAATGATATATTCAGTATGTTCTAAACAAAATGAAGTCAATGCAATTTTGACAAAGTCCTTCAACTATCTGGTTCATCGTATTTTGAAGAATTGATTGTTTCAATTCATTATTTATTTGAACTAAAACATAACATGAGAATTATAACTGCAAAGACAGTAATGTTTATGACATTAAATCTGATGTTCGAAATGTTACTAAAGCACTTCATTTTCATCACTGATTTTAGAAGATAAGATAATTATTTTTTAACTTCAGAAAATCAAGTTACAGTGCACGCCGTCCCGTGAGTGGGGCCCTGCCTTGGTTCGTCACAGAGAACTGGTGAACTACATCGACGGCTGGGTGGATGATCCCTGGGCAGAGAAAGGAGCCTTCGTTAATTACGCCTACAAATCTGACAGTGAAATTAGGGTAAGAATTACATAGTTATCTCATAGTAGATAATAAATTTTAAAAGTTTATGTTATAATAAGATATCTTGTATTTCATCTGTTTTTATATGTTACATTTTGGGGAAAATTTTCCACTTACATTGAGTTTTCTAATGAACTTTAACGATCATTATAAATTTTAAGCAGGTCTTCACAATTAGTTTTTAACAAGGTTTATCTCATACATTTGGAGTAGGTAGAACAAATTCGGTATTAGTATACGTAATTGTCATTTATACATATATTTTTAATTTTCGCAGACTGGAAGTTTAAAGTCTTTAGAAGCAAGTAGACTCTCTGCTAGAATGAAAAAGTCCCTCTCTGACTCAAATGGATCAACGAAAACCGGAATCTCGTTTGAATCCTATGTGTAATTAAGTATATTGATTGGTTATATTTTCAGTATATGTAATTTATAAGGATTTATTGTCACCCTTTCATTTTCCTATTCAGTATTAGACGTGTTCGTATATTTCATTAGCCATACCTTTTGTCTGCCATGACAATATTTGCATATGCCTTTATAAGTCAAATAAAATATCATGTACAAAAAGACAACTGACTTACCTGAAAATTCTGGATTTGTAAATATGAATAATGCAATAACAACATGTCATGATCAGCAATACTTGAAATGTTTACTCCATTTTCTTTTGTAATGAAATAAAATGGATGGAAAAGTAAAGTTCCAACAGTTTAAAAGAAAATGAAGGTAATGAATAGTACATACATATTTAATTAAGATGAAGGCAAAGAGAGTAAAAATATTTTTCCCTTTTTATTTCTTACTGTATGTCAAATCTATGCAAATATTAGTAAACATTCTGAAAATCTCAGTTGGTTCAAAATCTTTTTGATGAAAGAAATACTACTGTGTTAAGGAATAAATACATATTTCATTCATTATTTGAAAAAGGTGTACGCGGTATTACCGGTATTTTAACTGAATCAAATGCATTTACAACCTATATTTAGATTCCAAAAATCTCATTTTATACAAACCGGTTTTTATATATTTTTAAATACAAACTTTTTTATTAATATACCATTGTAGCATTTGACTGTCTTTTACAAACCTTTTTTCCACAATTTTATGCACTTTTACTATTAAACCTACAAATCATTTGTATGTATATACATGCTTTTATTCTGGATATTTTTACATGGATTTTTTTTTAAAAGAATGACATTTTAAGAATGTACAAGAGACAATAAAAGAAGGAAATATATTTTGGATTGTCATTTAATTCCAGCTTTAGAGGAATTCACTTGATGTGTTTAAAGAGAAGCTTTATCATCTTTTATGTGTATTTCTCAGTCTATTATTTATCGCTGTCTATTTCTATCACGAATTTCAAAAGATTAATACCTTTTTCTGAAAGTTAATAAATTCTCAACTTTGGAGTTTTTACTTCTCTGATTCCTTTGCTTATAAAATTCCAGAGTTATAGTTTCCATCACAAGTTTCATTTGTCTAGAATATGTTTTACTTATCTGCTCCCTCTTGCTCCTTTGTCCCCTTGCTTTAAGTTTTACTTTTATGTCTATTCTCTGGTCTTTCTTATGTCTTTTGATTTTCTTTGCTTATCAATTTTGACATTTCTGTTATCATTTCTCTATTATTAAAATTCTTAACCTTGGTCATTACTTTTGATTGGTAAGAACTAGGGTTTTCAGTTTCACACTTGTTTTACTTGTGACAAGATCTTTCAGTAGGTTCTAACAAATTTGACTTCTTGACCATGACCTTAAAGTTTATCCTTCTTTTGCAAAATGTAACCGAAATTTTGCCTCAGCATAATTTTTGAAATATTTGTGAGGCTTTCAAACTTCACTTGTATAGTTGCTATGACAAGACCCTTAGTTTGAGTAATAACATTTTCGACATGAAATTTGACATTCTTTTGAAAAACATTAACCATGGTCATATCTTTTCAACACTTCCAACAAGGACTTTCATACTTCATTTCTATATTCATTGCGTCAAGACATTTCCCTTTTGTACGGTTGATATTAATGTGTGCATATATCACTTGTATATTAAGGTCAAGATCTAGTAAATGAAAGGTGCCTACATATTTATCAAACTTGAGAAATAAATTCCTTTTTTTAATGCTTTACAACTTTAGCTTGGTCAAATAAGGTGTTTCGGGGCATAATTTGTAGGTAAACAAGCTGAAAAACTGTATTTAAAACTGTCATTTTCAATGAAAAATTAAGAAAACCAGTCATGAATATGGGAGTTTTTTCCGTATTCGGCAAAGGAAATGTATCCAGATTGCCTACAGTCTCTCAAAAAACGGTAATTAGTATGTTCATGGCCTCTTCTTTAAATCAATAGCAAATTTAATATAGGTATCCGGTTTACTTTTTATATGATTTCAAATTGAATTCCGTGAAAATATCCCGTTTTCTTCATAATTCTGCTAAAGCCGTAAAGTACGGGAAAAAGAAAGTTGAAATTGATTATGACGTCATAATGGATCTAGCACCAAAAAATTAGTCTCGAGTTATTTACTAGATCTTGACCTTAAATGTTACAGAAACTCTCTTTTTGATCTAATGACTTTTTGACTTTGGAAATTAAACTACTTTAAAAACTCTATCGTTGAATTGGTAATGATATTTAAACGCTTGATGCTAGGGTTCCCGTGTTTTACTCGTGTTGTTCTTGTGACAATAACTTTCTTTGAGTAGCAACAACTTTGACGGTTTGACCTTAAACCTGAACTTGGACCCTCTTTTGAAAAACTTTAACCTGGTCATATCTTTTGAACAATTATTCTAGGAATTTGATAATATTTCACATGTTCCAGGGTTGTCCGTAAAGCTCAGTGAAATTTTAATAAAAGTTGTGTCATTGATATTTATATTAGCATGTGTATAATCCTTCACTAAATGTGAATTACATAATGTAAAATTATATTTAATTTCAAATGTATAAAAATACCATTATGCCTTCATTATTAAACTTGGGATGGTGACCCGGACCACCACAAAATTTTAATTAAACAAATCTATATATTCCTGGTAATAAAACCTTTCCTTTGGTACCAATAATTTTGAACCTGACCTTAGGAGTTGTTTTACAAAATCCACGAAAATTGATGCCAAGGAAAATTGATGAAACCACAGTAATTGTTTCACCTGTCTGTAACAGAAAATTGAGTTAGCAAAAAGTTATTTGCAAGTTCTTATATAGAACAAATTAATAAGGGACTTAAAATATTGCTTTTGCCGAGGCCGGGATATAGCTTTATACTAGTGCATTGCTTCAATTAGACCTTTCTACTTAATACACTTATGTTCAACTGAGAGTAAATTTAGATTTATATCAAATTTGAAAGAATGTTCTCTTTCAAGCATTATATGACAGAGGTACAATATTATACTTTCTTCAATGATTTGTACTATATTCTTTGAATAATTCTTGACACTTGAAGAATAATGATGAATACATATATTTTTGAATGTATCCTTTTGATATTTAGGGAGGTGTGTACCTGTTACAAATGCTCGATAATTATGTAGGAGGATGGACTCTCTTAATTATAGGATTTGCAGAGTGTATATGTATTACGTATATATATGGTAGGTATAAGGTTCTATTTACTTTCGCTCTCACTCTCTCTTTTTTCAATGGTAAAGCAATGATATACAATTATTGTTTCTATGACATACATGTATCTGCCTAAATTAATTTTTTACAGGAGTAAATAGATTCATAAAAGACATAGAGCTTATGTTTGGATTGAAGATGTTCATCTGGTGGAAAATTTGCTGGATGATTTTAAGTCCCATAGCATTAGTGTTGAGAGTAAACCAAATGTGTTATTTTCAGTATATAGTTTTCACCGGGAAGCATCAATGTGACATAAAATACGCTAATGCTGATTCTTGTAATCACATTCTTCGCCTTTGAAGTCTTTACGAAAGTCTTGTATTTATTCCACCTAGGACTTATAAATATTGAACGTGGTTATTTTTTTTATTATTATTTTTTTTTTTAATTTTTTGCCTTCTTGGTACCTCCGTCCAAAAATAGATGATTTACACCTCCTACAATGTAACTAAGAAAAACAAAAACCCATTAATTATAATAACTTTTTGATTTGCAGTTATACAAATACACAAATTCTGATTTACTCGATTTATCAGCTTCTTTATATATGTTGACAAACTTTAAGTTCTCTTTATATAGCATTAAAAAACTCACCTCTGATGTTTTTAGAGATCTACTTTGTTCGATCTGCTCCGGATTTGTATTTCTCATAGGACTGTTGAGCTCGCCTCCATTAGATATCCTGACATTAAATTTGAATTACCGTATACTGGACTGCTCAGTTACATGAACATCCTACCAAACATTCATAGCAGGTTCCTGCACATGTCCTTCCAAGCTTTTTCTTTACTACCTGCTCAAATATATTGGTGAACTTTTAAGAAAATTTAAAATCACAAAATTTTACCAAAATCAGTCATGATCAATAAAATGAAAACATACGATTGTTCAAAACTTAAAGTAAAATCAGATTCATTTGTTTAAAAATATCAGAGTTTTAAACTTCATTATATTATAGTCAATAGATAGCTCGAACTGAGATAGAGAATTAACGAGTCGTCAACTTCTCAATAGATGATATCCTTAGATATGATTTTTGAAACTGAATTAAGCTAATTCTTTATATTGTCTTTAGTATTATTTATTCTTAGTTAAACTTACACTATGAAACACAGTGGTTAATCCAGAAATTCATATGGGAAGGGGTCCGAAGGGGTAGGGTGGATGGAAATAGGGGATCCTCCCCCGAAGAATCATGTTCATTTCTTCGTTGATTCGATATATCCCTTTGAACTCAAAATAGAAGTTACCACAGTCTGAAACATCTCAATCTGTTTAATACTTATATATTTTAATAGAAAAGACATTTATGGTATACTATCAACTAAATTTTAAACGTCTTGACTTTAACTTTTCTATCGTCATCTTTCTTATTTATGTAGAAATATACACTTATCACCTGCATATAAAGTTGATGTTGGAAATTCTTATATGATTCGATACGCAAGAGTTGTACGTATGAACAATTTCAAAAACGAAGAAAGCTATCGTCAAACTATCGTGTTTAAAGCCAACATCTCTCAAATTCTTCTTTCGTTACAATAACCTTGTCAGCTAAAACATTCTCTCATTAAGTCGAATGCTGACTGAGATTTTTTTTCAAAACAGAGTCGAGTCTTTATCTAAACATTGAATCGTCTACAGATTTTTCCATTTGCCCTATCAAATCAGGAGCACAAGTGTGACCAGTCGACGGGGGGATGCTTACTCTTTCATGGGTTCTGAGCCAACATCTGATGTTTTTAGAGGCCCGTGTTTCCTCGGCTCCCATTGTGTATTGTTTCAAAAGACTATAGAGATTGATTACTGTTCATTATCTCTACTTCATTCAGTAACCTCGGTTGCTGGGAATTTAACCTTACATTAACTTCGGGTATACAGTTCTATCTGCAAGAACTTAATTTACCATGAGAAAGTAACATTGACGAAATGCATAATTATCGGTAAAATTAAATAGATCTTTAGAAACATTCGGACCCTTTGTTTGGCAATGGATTATTGATTATCTAGGTTCAGTGCGTATAGAAACCCCTTGAAGAGATTACGGGAGAATTTATAACTTTTTAAATCTTAAACAATTAATGTGAACAAGTCGATCAATGTATGTTCACATGCACAGTCATTCATAATTTATTTAAGTCGTTACATGATTAATTTCCTTAAAAGAAATGTAAGGGTGAAATAATGCCGTCTGCTTTAACAGGAAATCGATGATCACGTGACGACAACAAACTGGCATGGTACATCTGTCAGCGTGGTCGTCTATTGTTGTGTATAGGATGAACTAGGAAGAAATATGACGAATATTTATTATCATAATGAGATAATTAAAGGTAAGAAGTATATGAACATCAAAGAGATACGATGCATAATTATTGAGAAAAAAATATAAATTTTCTTTAGAGTTCAGAGGGAAACTCCTTTGATTAAGATAATAGTTCTACAAATGATACCGGTGAAACGTGTACCTGTTTGTTAAATTAAGTGGCTTGCAGTAGAATTATGCATAGAAAGGTTCGTGTTTACTAGATTGATTATTTTGAGTAATACAACGTATTACAAATACCGAGACACAGAGGATCATGCAGAATTGTATAAATCGATTCTGAATGGTAACATACATATCGTTTAATGAAAAGATTTTCGCTTAATTCAATAAACTATACATATACGCAGTGCTTATTAATTGATTTCTATTGTGAACTATATAGTTTTAAAAGCGAGAGTGTGTATTTGCACCTTTAAAATACAAGGTTTTTGTGTTTACATGAAAAAAAGAGAAAGAAAAAAAATTGAAAGGGCGCAAACGAGATAAGCTTAACTCTGAAGTCAGGCATGAAGAATGCCAATAAAACGGATTTTAAAATATTGAGGACGACTCAAACATTCGTATGCAGAATACCCAATACCACATACACTTGTGATCTAGATTGAATTTGAAGTGTTTAAAGAGACAGAATAAAGATTAAAGACGTCCGCGACCCGATAAGACACAAGATGAGTCAATTAATGTTCTCATAATCTGTCAATAAAAACAGTTTATCGTAGAGTCCCCGAGTTTTGTCAGTCATGTTACATGTTACCTATGGCAAACATTAAGGTGTTCTGTCAATAAGTCCAGAAGATAAGGTCAAAATATCTGTTTGACCAACTCTGCACTGCTTAATGTGATGTCGTGACACCCCTACAACAGTAATTATCACATTTAATTGTTTGTAGAATTACCGTCAAAGATGTATCGTGGAACAAGGATGTGAAAATACCTTTTGAGGAAGACCTGGGAAACGCAATGAATCATGTAAGTTTTTTTTTAAAAAATGACTTGGTTTTATTTACGCCTTCGTGCATTTAAGTGACGTTACCTATTATTGATTAAATGCTTAAGGAAAATAAACGGCTTCTTGCATAACTGAATTGTTATTGTGTGCACATTCTTTTAAGTTAGACAAGATCACATTCCTACGCGATCATTAAATTTGTGAAATCGCCCGTACAATTTAGTTTTATAACGAAATTTGTTTTTAAGGCCAGACGACAAATCATTAAAAAAAAATTTCCAAAAGAATTTGTATATCTGCTTTGACAAATTTACTTAGAAAAAAATGAAGTACCTGACCAAACATTCATGCAAGATACAGGGGGATTATGTTTTAAAAATCACAGGATGAAACGTTGAGTATTAATATTTTTCATAAGAGATGCAAAGATATTCGAGAAACGTTGCATTTGTTTTTCTCAAACTACGTTTTTCTCTGAAAATTAAATGCAGTGGCTACAAAAAGTTTACAAAAGCAAATACTTTCTCCCGAACGGTAAAAAAAATGTTAGAAAAGTTCTTTTTATAATTAAAAAGATATATCTTTAAAAACAAGGAATTTTGCACCGCACACATTGAATATACCAGGTTCACCCAGGAAGTTATTTATAACAATAATGTAGTTTACTAAATAAACACTATTGTACCCACTCATCGAAATTTGAAACTTTTCTACACAAACGAAGTAATTTTTTGATTGAATTGTTAATAACGGAATTGTTAAATCAATTATGATCGCAATTGAATATTTTTTAAAGGAAATGAATAAAAAGACATTTCTGTATACTAGTAACTATGATAAAGGACTAAAATGCACTAAACGGGCGCAGAAAAAGTCTTTTTTTCAATAAGCCAAATAGAAACTGCCACCGGACACGCAACTATACTTAAACAAACCTAGCGTTGTCATGGAGAAGAAGAGATTTTCAAAGAATTCATTAGACCATGGCGAAGAAGAGATTTTCAAAGAAAAGCATATATTATTAATAGGTACAGTCATGACAATATTGCAATATGTACATCTTCGGTTACGAAACATTTCTCGACATCAGATATGTTGAAGAGTGTGGAAGGTTATTCAATTTCTAAATATGCTTAGAGATATTATTCCAGATCCAATAATGGTACCTTATGCCTATTTTCATAGTTCGTGTACTTTTCATATGAATAATTTCAAATATATTACATGCTCCTTTCCCATGTACTGAAAATTATACAATTTTATGCATACAGCTTTTGAAAATTGTTTTTGAGTCATTATTTCTTAAATTTAATTTTATCAATTTTTACAGAAATCGGAAGCAAATGAACAGAATTTCAACCTATCTACCACAACAATACCGTTATATAGTGATTTCGAACCTGGTCCCAGACAGGCAAGCTCTCCTTTAACACCGGAATCTCCAAAGCAGTTCCTGAACCATGTTGACCGCGGGGTGTACGTCATCAAAGATCTTTCCAAAGATCCTGTGGTAAGGCACCAAAATAACGTAAAGTTTCTAAAGTTTGAATTTTATATTTAAAAAATTAAGTCTTTACATGAATTGTAAAAAAAAAATTGTCAGTTTACCTGGTATGGATAATTAGTCCAAGGGAATAAAATATTTTGTATTTAGCCTTTAGTTGAAAGACTACCTTATACAACGCCAACTCGTCCTCGGGATATTTCTTACTCGACACCAGATGATAATCGACTAACGACTCCTGTACAGGAGCAGGGACAGCCAGAATCTCCTCATGTGTTTCTGAGTCCTGTAGATAAAGGAATCTTTATTATCAATTCAACCTTGGACTCTTCTCAGGTGAACATATAAATAGTGATACAAGATGCAATACGTTGTAAAAATTTCATTGAATTACTTACATTTAGAAATGAATTGCTTTCTTTATGAAATAAACAAATACGTATCGGTAATAAATTGGAAGAAAAACAAACTAGAAAGATAAAATAAAATTCGGTCAAATATTGCCATGACGTATTGTTTTTCTGCATCTTTTTTCTAAATGTACAAATAAGAAAATATTCAAGAAATTAATTATATCCTGTTAAAAAGCGTTTAAAAGGGGAAAGTCTATTGCAAAAAGAGCGACTTTCAGACATTTGATTTGCAAAGTTTAACATGGATCAACCCATAAACCTGAAGTAAAATATTTTACAGACGTCTGTTCCACAAAATAATGTCGGACATATCAAAGACGACAGCAACAATAAGAATTCAAACCGAAACAACAGAAGCTTAACGGAAGACGTCAGCAACGAAAACGAGGCTTCCTCCGAAGAAAGAAAACCTCCAGACAGACGCCAGATATTTGGCGTTGATGAGAACGAAGAGCGAGGAAACTGGACAGGGAGGCTGGACTTCCTGTTGTCCATGCTGGGGTATTGTGTAGGATTAGGGAACATCTGGAGATTCCCTTACCTCTGTTATAGAAACGGAGGAGGGGCGTTTCTGTTGCCATTTATTATAATGATGTTTTTAGTTGGCATTCCACTCTTTTATCTAGAGGCAGCTTTAGGACAGTTCTGTAGTCGCGGGCCAACAACCTGCTGGGAGTTTGCTCCCTTATTCAAAGGTACAGATACCCTATGAACCTAACATCTACGATGTATTTATATAGTTACAAATAAAACAACATAATTTTCATAATCTTCATAGCAAAAAATACATGGATAGTAAAATGAAGACAATGTATGATGTTTTAAGCAAAACAAACTTGGGTGTCAATGTTAACCACACCTAATTTAATGTAAGATGTAACACATGCCTAAAAAAAATGAAAATGATGTTAAAACTAACAGAAATAAAATGAGTAAGTGCAACAAACCTTTTATTCACGTTTTTTTCTTGGTATTATAAAAATGTATTACACTTGTAAAGAAATGTTATAAGGAGTTACTATTTCGGTTTGGATAACAACAACACACTACCATTACTTTTGGTGTTGTAGGTCTTGGTATTGCAATGCTTATCATGTCCGGGCTAACCAGTATTTATTACAACGTATTAATCACGTGGGCGGTGCTCTATTTCTTCTCTTCCTTCACCAGTGATCTCCCTTGGAGCACCTGTGATAATAAATGGAACACAAGAGGTGAAAATATTAAAAGATATCGTTAAATTAAAATTCGATTCTCATGAGGTTGAAGTTTTAATTTTGTTGATTTAGCTAAAAATGTCTTTTAATCAAGAGTATCATTTTTGTATTGGTAGATTGTAGTTTAAAATTACCAACAGTTATTTGTTCACGGAACGAGCAAAAATTTCCAAACGGAACCTGTTATTCTCAGAATGTCTTCAAAGGAATCTGGAATGAAAAGATTTTCAGAAATATAACCGGAAGAAGACGCACATCTCCCACAGAGGAGTACTGGAAGTAAGTGTTCTTTTTTATAAAATCTCACATGCTAGTAAATAGAATAATTATGATAATTTCTAGTCTATCTGTGTGAACAAAGCTTTTTCAAAATGAGACTTTTAAAAAATCCATTCAGTGATCAAATACCACTTTCATTTATTTTGGTGTTCGAATCTAATATCTATTTGAAATACACCTTTTTCCACCTTGAAAGAAGTCTTAACATTAGCATTTACCATGTATTCCAACTGTTGAATACATGACTTGTATACATCATCAGTTAAAAAACATAATTAGAGAAAAATATTCAAATATATCCACGTTTTATATGTATGTCATCTCATCAAGATACTCTCTAATTGGAGTTTATATTGCTTATATTTTTAATTATACAAAATGATTTGTAAGCTATCAAAACACTTCATTTGTATTAGTTTATTTCAGCAACAAGTTCCTGAGTATCAGCAGTGGTATAGACAATATGGGAGAACCTAAATACGAGCTGGCTCTTGGTTTGTTGTTTGCTTGGATACTATGTTTTCTCTGCCTTATGAAGGGAATCAAAACTACTGGAAAGGTTTGTTATCATTGAAAATTAGTATATTGTCGTTCTGTTATTTTATGTCATTGTAAAATATGGTATTTGATTTTTTTTTTCAATTTTTGAACTAGTATGATATAGATTGACCATCTGATATGATACTGTTATAGGAATAATAAGATAATTTTGAAATTTTAATAATAATTTAATTTTTTTATTGCAGGTTGTATATGTGACAGCAATTTTTCCGTATTTAGTGCTTTTTATTTTATTTTTTCGTGGAATTACCCTTGATGGGGCTGGGAACGGGATCTATTTTTATATTGTGCCAAATTTTGAACGCCTGCTTGACGCAAAGGTATTAAGATTTTTTTTAATACGGGGATGGGGTGGGGTGGTAAACAGCAAAAACATATGCTTGTAAATAATTCGAGAACATGTGTCAATGAGGTATATTGCATGCACTTCAATACATTTATTGACTGGCTAAACAATCCATATTATGTAGGTGTGGCGAGATGCAGCTGTTCAGATATTTTACTCCATGGGGCCTGGGTGGGGAGGATTAATTGCTTTGGCGAGCTACAATCGATTCCACAACAATGTGTTCAGGTAAGCATCTGTACTGTCATACAATGTGTACTTTCAGTACTTTGATTAGTAAGAATTACAAACAGGGCTATGTTCAGTCAAAATTTGAATAATAAAATTGTGTAAAATCAATTCTTTTCAGATGACAGAGACAGATAAAAATAGGTTATATATTATGTTCATATATTTTTATAAAGTATGTCAAATATGTATATTGTTTGAAAGTTGGCCACTACCTACATGCATGCACTCTATACATTGAAAGTTATTTTGCTCACTTGGATAAGTTGTCTTATAATTTCAACTATCCAATGATTTTCATATTCAAAATGAAGCAATTATTCTACATTTGATTATTGATTTTAGATACGACATATGGTGGTATATAAATCTATCTGATACCAATGTTTCAGTGAAATTGAATAATGTCATATCAAATTTTCTAAATTTTATTCTATAACGATAAAAACATTTTCATGTGTCAGTCATTTTCCTTTCTTTTATGACAGGGATTCTATCATAGTGTCTGTCGGGGATTGCGTCACAAGTATTTTTGGCGGTTTTGTCATCTTTGCTTTCCTTGGTTACATGGCGTATAATATGAATGTAGATGTAGAGGATGTAGTAACTAATGGTATGAAATATATCCTATAAAGACTTACAGCTCTATCATTGATAATAAGATCAAAAGTCACAAGCGATAAAACACTCCCTAACATTCTTTATTTTTAAACAAAAATATATGTTCAGTAATGTAAGGAGTGAAAAAAGGTGTTTGAAATCAATTATGCTCAATATACAGAAACAGTACAATTCAATGTTTAGAAAATCCAATATGAAATGCTTATAATATAATACATAAGCATTGATATAAAATAAGAAGCAATAGTTTTAACACAATTTATGATTTTTTGGCAATATGCCAAACCAATATAAATACAATCAAGTATCAGCTATAGTTTTGGAAACAAATAAAAATAAGACTACAAAATAAGCTATAAAAGACAAAAAAAATCAGATGAAAAACAATCTCTTACATGTTTTCCCATACAGGTGCTGGTCTGGCGTTCGTGGTGTACCCTGCGGCTGTGACAAGTCTTCCTCTGCCCACTCTGTGGTCCATTCTCTTCTTCCTCATGCTCATCACGCTAGGCATTGACAGTCAGGTCAGTCCTCTCACTGCTCATTACATTATTGTTTCCTTCTTTTTTCTTCAAGATCATCAAGTACCAATTGCAAAGTCGGGTTCGTAGTAAACTTAATTTTTCAAGAAGAGAAGTTAATCTTCTTCACACGGACATCATAGGAGAAAGAAATTCAAGAAAATCCTTTCAATTCTAAATACACACTGTATCATATGACATAAACCGGAAAGGAAATCTTTCTTGGGCATCACATTAGGGTTTCATGGTCAAGTAATTTTTCTCAAAAGTCATAACAAATAAGGATTGACAATCCATCTTCTTTCTACTCATTACAATAATAATTTACAGTCAAACTCCTTCATACTCCTTTGAATAATTTTTGAAAGTCAAACGTCTGTTTTCATACTCATTTCAATAGTTATTGAAAGTCAATCTTTTTCATACATGTACTTATTTCAAAAAGGATTGACAGTCACTCTCATACATGTACTCATATTCATACTGACAAGATATCTTTTTCAAAGTGTAACAAAAACCAAAAAGATCGGTTTTGCTTGTGTGAGTACTGAGGAGTTTCTTAAATGAGATATTCATTTACTATTCTATAATTTTTGTTTGACAGTTTGCGATGTTGGAGAGTGTTCTAACCGGCATTGTTGACTACTTTCCATCCTTACGTCCAAAGAAAACCTTAGTTATCCTGGGTATCTCCTTTGTTTTCTTTCTCCTGGGACTGCCAATGACTACACCGGTAAATGAAGCATGTATTTAGATACATTGTATACATTATAGCTCACGCCTTGACTATACACCGGTAAAATTTATGGTGCATGTATTTTATAGATATGTATTATAGTTCACTCGTTGACTATAGCTACTCAATGGCTCATGAGTTTGCAATGTCTTGTAACTACATTACAAAGCTACATCATACTTACATGTACCTTATCCACACATGATTCGTTACCTTCCTTTTTATTCAGGGAGGGATGTACATCCTGCAGTTGATGGACCATTACGTGGCGTCCTGGTCCCTCCTTATCGTGGGTCTTATAGAAATCCTGGTCATCAGTTATGTATATGGTACGAAACCTGAAATTAAAGCTTATTCAACACTATTTGAATATTTAAACATCATTTCAAATATTAAACAATGAATAAAATTTGATAATTCAGCCTAACTATATTAAATTTGAAAACCAACCTTTTAACTTAATTGTTTCAAATGGTGTCTAGTAGAAAGGAATGATATTTTACAATAAGTGAGTTTTCGTCTTTCTCTATGTTTAGGAATTAATCGTTACTTGAAGGATATCGAGATTATGCTTGGGAGACCACCTTTCATGTGCTGGAAAATTTGTTGGATGTTTGTTAGTCCCGTGATTATATGTGTAAGTGTTTGTATTTGCAAATTATCTGCTTAAGAAAAAAAATCATGATAATGTTTCCAATTATACAATATTGAAAAGCTATAAGGTTTTACTATCAATCATAAAAACTAAGAAAAGGATATCTTTGAGACATTTATATGCCTAGATATATATACTGAAAGGAAAAAGAATCGCAGGGTAGCATGATATTGGAAATTTTTTTGACCCCATGGCCGAAAATTAGAGAAAATTAGTCAGATGAGAATATTAGTTATTATACACCGTGCACCAAAATCCGTGTTCAGAATTACTCAACCGTAAAATTTATGACGTCACGTAGTGAAAACGCCAAAAGCCCAAAACACGTGCAAATTGATATCCACAAGTTGTTGTACCATTTGATGTACCTGAGGTATACACACACTTTTTCAAAATTTACAGACGATATGAATTTCGTACAACTGACGGAAGTTTCATGGGGTCTGGTTTTCAGATTGCCTAATTAAGGATAAAGGCATCCACGGGTACTGAGCAGTTTCTTGTAAAAAATTCTTTCATTCAACGTGTTACCCGTTGTTAGAGAGCGCCTGGAATAATTTACAACCAACTGTGACGATGATGTTGATGCGTACAGTACCACTTTAAGATCGAGTCATGTTTAATCGCTACTTTACTACCACAAAAACCGCTATTGATAATCTTTAGACTTTCATAAACATTACATTCACCCCAAAACTGAAAGAAACCAATTGCGCGATTTGGATTTTTGAGCCGGTCAACTCTACGTTGGTGTTCCTCTCACTGGCGCATGCGCGCGTCGATATTCTAATTTTTCGGCGTGGTTACCCACGCCCAATATTTCTAGGGTTTGAAAGAAAAACACTCTTCTGAATTCCATGAAAAGAAGAATCAAGGCTGTGACAGATGCGCAGGGGAGAAATTGAAGATAATGAGAGTTCTCGATTTTCACTTTTCGGGGGTATCGTCAGATGAGTTTTAATAACTCGTGAATTATAAGACGAAATCAAATTGGATTTTGGTTGCATTTTGTTTGAAGATGATTTTTAAAGTTAGATTAGAATACTGGAAATATAAAAAAGAAAAGTAAATTAAATTCACCTCAAAATTTTACCTTGCATTTCTTTTTCCTTTCAGTATAAAAGCTTCGTAGTACCACATAAGTATACGATATCTATGAATGATATGTGTTTGGTTCTTTTTATGTGATTACCAAAGTCAAAAGATACAGAGCAGTGTGAAAATTCTTTTGGTAATCATGCATTTTCTACATGTTATTCAATTTCAAAACCGTTTATTAATGATTGTAATTTCAGGCAATATTGCTGTTTGCTTGGATTGACTATTCTCCTGTCCAATACGGTAGCTACTCCTATCCGGACTGGGCCGAGGCTCTGGGGTGGCTGATGTCTTTTTTCTCCGTGATATTCATTCCCATTGTCATGTTATACAAAGTCAACAAAGAAGACGAGGCAAAGGGGGCGTGGGAGGTAATGCATAAAATATTTTCAATGATTGCTTCAATGCGTGCATTATAATGCATTACAGTGGTTGAAACTTCATTTTCCAAATAGATATACTGTAGCACTGAGTAGCACAGACAAATTTTAAAAGAAATAAATCAAGATGCCACATTGATTCTAATGTATTCAACAGTTCTTAAATGTATAGTTTGGAAAAGATGTAGAATTCTCTAAAATTAAGTTTTCATTATATGAATACTACTTAGTGATCTAGCTTTAATATTTTCATGTAGAAAATCAAGTTACTGTGTACACCAACTCGTGTGTGGGGCCCCGCCTTGGTCCGCCACCGACAACTTGTGGATCACGTGGAAGGATTCGTGGCGGACCCTGAGAGTGAGAGGGCGGGGCACCAGTATGTCAACTACGGCTACGATACATCTGTGGTACGTATAGAAAATAACCAGTTGACATTATCCTAGTACTCAAGAAAATAGGACTGAATGTTTTAACATATAAAAGTGCATTTCTTATTTTCGTATATTGAAACTTACTGCTAAATTTTACACTAAGTACTAGTATGGAAATGAATGTAATCTTAGCATTGGCAAAGAGCAAATGTGTGCACCGAAATTAATAATTTCAGTGAAAAGTGAAATGAAACATATTGTTCTAATTTCTAGGCAAGCCATTCCACTCCCGATGTAAGCCGATATTCCTGGGCTTCCGGTCACACCCAAACTTCCCATGTCTCCTATGAGTCCGCAGTTTGAAAAATTTGAAATCCTTAATCTATAGTCCCAGAAAATATCAAAATTTGTGCAATACGACATGTTTAATAATCAAATACCTGTTTATTCTCATATTCAAAATAATCATTCCATGTATTTGTCGATATGTACAATTATAACATGTAGTAATTTTATTGATATACTCATTTTGTAGTTTTTTTAACAGGTCAGCAAATGTTGACCAAATTTTTTAACTGTCTCCATGTACAATTTTTACTTATTTAATTTGTAAACATGTCTTTGTCTTTTGACATATACACATGTACTCTATATCATTTATACAATAAAGTGTCTGAAAACATTTCCAAGTTGCTTTGATTGATTTGGTTGACTTGACTTTGAGATAATATACTTAAAGGTACTTGGACGCAGATTTGAAGATAATATTTTCTCTGTAATATTACGACTGATATATTTTAATAGTATTTCACACAAAAATTAATTAAAAATCTTATTTCATTTAAAAGTTATTAAAACTTCAAATTTTTTGGCGGGTTGATTGACACATCCTTGCCCTTTCACAAATTTTAACTTTATTCTTAGTCCTTAGGAAAAGTGGCAATCTTGTTGTGTATTAATGAGAAATATTAAAACTTTAATCCAGAAAAAATAAATTTATTCAGAGTAGAAATGTTAGAATGCAAAACTCCTTCACAAGTATCGTCATTCCGAGCGTGTTGTGTACAGAGTTTAGCAAATCGAACACACTCGTGTTATGTACACAGTTTTTGTTAACAGGGCACGAGCTCTGTTATTGTTGATGTTTACGATTCAGCGGGTGCGTTCAATCGTCAAAGTCTGCTCACCACAACTGCACGGACTGACAATATACGAGGGCTGTTCAATAAATAATGTCCTGAACTGTATGACATACAATACAGATATCATATGACATTAAGCTTGACTTTCTCTCCTAATTTAATCTTTAATGAATTTATAACAGTTTATGTGACCACTTTTCATCACATAATTTCATTGTGAGAAGCTGGAAAACAAGGGCTATTCGAAACACTGCATCATAAATAAATGGTAAAGAATAAATAAACTAGATTTAAAATAAAAGCTTCATTAAAGCTGCTGTAAAACTTGTTAAGAATCCCAAACAAATATTCACTGAAATGTGACATTTACAGCAACCAATGCCTGTTTTATAGACAAATGAGCATGTGGATTTCAATGATAAAAAATTATGTAATGGGCATCAAAAATGGGTACCGCCTTTGCCAACAAAAAAATATAACAACTAATGTACTGTTTGACAAATTTCAACAAATAATCATGATGATGTATGATTGACTTTAAGACACATAGCAAACTTGATAGACATCATTTCGGGAGTAGTTTACATTGTTTTTAAGAAACGTTTGACTGTAAAAAAGCTTAGAACTCAAAGGTCACCCTATATTTTGAAAAATGAGTGAAAAAGACAGCGTGTACGAATGTCTTAACAATTATTTTAAAATATCAGTAATTGTAGTTATCCACGTTTGTCTGATATTCAAACAGATAATGGAACGTGAATCTATTGCTTAAAACCTTCAAAACAAAATTTACCATGCGCTGCACTTGATAAAACATGCAGCGAAGGTCTGACAAGAGCAAAGATTTGCAACAGCACAAAGACAGATTTATATGCAATTTTCTTAAATATTGGTGGTATTGTTGTTCAAATTCGTATTCAGGGAGACAGTTTAACTTCTGGAAGAGATTAGAAAGCAAATTTTTTGCAAAAAAAATCGAAAGGTTTATTAGAGGAAGGACCCAGAATCAGGAATCCACTACATTTCTTCATGACAGCGTCCAAACCCGCACACCCTTAAGGTCAAGATCTAGTAAATAACTTGAGACTAATTTTTTGGCGTTAGATTCCATTATGACGTTATAATCAATTTCAACTTTCTTTTTCACGTACTTTACGGCTTTAGCAGAATTATGTAGAAAATGGGGTATTTCCATGTCATTCAATTTGAAATCATATGAAAAGTAAACCGGATACCTATATCAAATTTGATATTGATTTAAAGAAGAGGCCAAGAACATACTAATTACCGTTTTCTGAAAGACTGTAGGCAATCTGGATACATTTCCTTTGCCGAATACGAAAAAAATCCCACATTCATGACAGGTTTTCTTAATTTGTCATTGAAAATGCCAGTTTAAAATACAGTTTTTCATCTTATTTACCTACAAATTATGCCCCAAAACACCTTATTTGACCAAGCTTAAGTTGTAAAGCATCAATAAAGGAATTTATTTCTCAAGTTTGATGAATCTGTAGGCACCTTTCATTTACTAGATCTTGACCTTAAGAGTAAAGGGGTTTTCGGGATAAACAGAAAGTTAATGTTTTTTCACATTAAAAATATTCGCCAGATCTCTGACCTTTTGACTTGTTTCTATTTCCAAACTTGAAAAAGCACCTTTCAGGAGGAAGAAACAAGTCCAAGAAATCACTGGATCTGCCATTTTCCAGTATACTAAGGGTCATACCCAAAAATGAGTTCTAAAAACAATTACAAATTGGACAAAAAATGTTACGGACATGTGTTTTAATTAAAAGAGAATAAGTTAAATCATGAAGACTAAATCATTGAAAAAGGTCTTTTGCTTCTTTGCGAGCACTGAGGACATTATTAATTGAACAGCCCTCGTATTGTGTGTTTGTTTTTCTTTCGAACATGTCTACTCTGAATTATCTGGACTATAGTATTAATAGTTTTCTTTTATACACAAGATTGCCACTTTTCCTAAGTATTAAGAATAAAATTAAAATTTGTGAAAAAGCAAGGATGTGTCAATCAAACCCGCCAAAAAATTTGAAGTTTTAATAACTTTAAAATGAAACAACATTTTTAATTAATTTTTGTGTGAAATGCTTTTAAAATATACAAGTTTATCTTTTAAAAAATTAGGTGAGCTAGCGCCATGGCAATTTTTAAACACAGAAAGGAAGATCCGTGATCAAGTGATTTATTTTGCTGAATTCTTTAATTTTTATCGAGGCTGGAGAGTGATAAAGTTATTATCCATTTTATAGACACATTGGTAAAGAAACAAGGGGGTGGGTGACCTATTGGAGTTTTGGCGCAACGGAACATATATGACCTTTACTGGAGGGGGGGGGGGCTCTATATAATATGAAGAAGATGCCGATTGAGATATTGCATGTATGGGCTGATTTAAAGAAGAGAATTTCTTGGCAATTTAGCAAAGAAAATACATGGGAGTTGAAAGGAATATAGAAAATAACCCCAAGTGTATGTTGTGTAAAGAGTCCAGAGAGTTTGGAACGCATGTGAAGTAGCTTAATTGGTCCTTTGGGTCATCTTTATCAAGATATGTTAGGTTAAAAGCCATACACATTAGAATTTTTTAAATACAAATAGTGGATTTATTCGTTATTTTTAGTGTAAATTCTTGCTTCTGTTTCTGGAATTTGTAAGATTGGCTGAATTGACCAATCAGAAATTAGAATAGATCTATCTTTGGTTGTGCTTAGATTTAAAAAAAAAAATCCCTTGTCATTGTTTAGAACAATCGGATAATGACTCGGGCTTTTCCGTCAGCAACCCCCCCCCCGAATTTGAAATACTATAAATATGAAGTTATCTTTAAAGTGTAAGCTACACAATAAATAAACAGTTATTTCATGCTACAACATGATACAACGAAATTGTTATCGTACGGTCTATCTGTAGCAGTTTTCACAGTTTTCCCAGAATGCACGGCCATGGCGGCCGAGCATGCGTATTCAAGGAATTTGGACTAACGTCGTTGCTAGCGCTCGAGAGCGCTAGCAATAAGTCGTAATACTATAGAGAAAATATTAACTTCAAATATGTGTCCAAGTATACCTTTAAGTACATTTTCAATTTCATGGTCCCAACATTTGCATCCTCAAAGTGTTAGTGGTTCTGAGAGAAGATTGACGTTGAACCGCCCCCTGACAAAGAAATAAGCTCACACAAAACGACTCTGCCCGTAAACTTCTTATAATGACCTTTTTTAACATCATTGACAGCTGGTTTTTTTTTTAAATAAAAATAGAACTTGTAAATTACCTTGTGATTGGTCCTTCGCAAAATTATTTTGTTAAAAAAACATTCCGACTGTACACACAAGTCCTCTGAAGTTGATATTTGTGTTTCTGATTGACAATATCTATGTGGCTTTTGGATACCTGGTCTTCCAACAATGTATTGGAATTCCCATGGGAATCAATTTAACCACGTTATAAGCAGACCGATTTTTGTATTCATATGTAACTGAATTTGTTCACATACTAGTTTTGAATGAAATTTCTACAGAGAGAGAATTTATTAAAAATGTACATAATTTTAACCAAATGTATACATTTCTAAATATTTTTTTTCCTTTGCAAATTAGAAAAAAAAACGGTCCTTCTTATGAACATCAGACGTCACTGATATGATAATATGGCAAGTCATCAGATAAATAACGTAAATATTTAAAGTCATATACGCTATATGAACGCCGAATTTTGTGTGAAACAAAATGATTAATGATTTAAAACACATGAAGTGTAATGAAAAATAATACTTTCCACAAAATTGTACTATAGATGTCGTTGTAATAACAAAACAATTAAACAATATCTAGGAATTAAGAACTCAGTCTTTTCATGAATATTGATGAAGGAAGTGCGTAAACAGTAGGCCTATATATAGAAACACATGTCCGCGGGAAATCAGAGACAACGAGGTATGTTACATTTTGACAACGATTATTAATATAAGGTTAATATGCGTAACAGAGAAGATGGTTGATACTGAATTCAATACATTAAAAGATAAGTACCATTAAGTAAGACGCTTGCCATCCAGTCAAAAGTGAGTAGTATCTCAAACGGCCTACCTTGTTTTCTTTACGCCACGTGTGTTTATCAATCTAAAAGTAGCGACGGCGTCACGTGATGGATTTATTTAAAAATAGCTATTTTTCTTTCCTTGCAGGATAATAAAAAAATTAAAATTTGATAACTTTGTAACGCGTTTAATTTTAATGGTGTAATTTACAGTATTTTCGTAACTTTTATTGATAAACAAATTATATCAATTTCCAGTCGTATTTTAACTGGCGCAAGTTATAGCGTGTATACTTTTAACGATTTAATTTAAGAATTCGTGAGGTACATGAACATGATGAACAACGATGCTCTATCTCACCGGAAAAGATTAAGATAATTTATTAAACTAAGAGACCGAGTAAAGTTGTATCGGAACAATGCAAGGTTCTTTTTTTCACCAACGCTGTATATATCCAAGATGCATAGAAAATTCTATACTAACAAAAAACAGTGTACCTAAATCCTTACACCCCCTCCCCTGTACTTCTGTGCAAAAAAAATCTTGGAACAAAATTGTCGCTTATTCATCCCTTTACTTTCGAAGCAATCAATTGGACACAAAAACAATACAAAAAATAAATAACATGTTTATGCAATATTGAATACAAATATTCAAAAAGTACACAATAATTCAACGGGACTTGGGAGGGGAATACTGTTTTCGTTCAAAAAGCATCAAGCATCGGAAACCACTGCATACACGTGAACAATTTCGGTTCCGTCATTTCTCTCTTCTTGGTAGATGATACGATCGGTACCGTACATAGCTGCCAGGTTCGCTGCTGTTGATTCAGAAATACCGCCATCTTGATCAAATGCGATTTCTGACAGCGTAGTTTCAACGTTTTCGCTCCCCGTTTCAGTCTGGAAATCTTGTGTGGATATCACTTCTTCCGTGATCTGTTGCAAAATGTCGTCTGAAGAAGTTTCTATAGGAATGTTATCTGTCGTCTGCGTTCCAGGTGGCAAAGTGAAATAAGTTTTACCACCATCTGTGGTTGCTATAATAACCTGCCCAGTGGGATTTGGGTCTACGACTTGTGAGGCATCAATCAGGCGGAGCTCTGTTGCGTTTTCAATTTGCGAGGGAAATTCACCAAGAACAGGACCTTCGGATTGCGTGGCCGGAATTTCATATGATGGAGAAACAATGTGTAAAATGGATCCATCTTTCTCCTGAATTGTTGTCATCTTTTTAGGAGTAAGTTGAACAGTGCTGCTTTTCTTAGAAGGCGAAACTATTGGAGTACTTATAACATTTGGATTCATCGCATTTTGATTGCTGTTCATGAGACCACCAACATTCTGAATTATAATATGTTTTCCATCGATCTCCGCGTGAATTTCATCCTCGGTGATGTGTTTCGTGTTCAGATACTTCGATGGACTATCTGTGGATATTTCTTCCACTGGTACGGACTGAAGCTGGACAAAATATCCATCTTCAATCTCAATAAGTCCGTGCTCTTTTACCAAATGATCCGCAAATTGTTCCTGATTTTCGTACGTCCCAAGACAAAGTTCGCACACATTTTCATTCTCACTTTTATGGTCTTCCACTGTGTGTTTTTCCAAAGCTTCAACATCTGGAAAACTCATCATACAAATGTCACATGTATTCAATACACCATCCTCATCTTCGTCCTCCTTTTCCGGTTCAAGAGTATTTTCTGATTTTAATGATGGGTTTTCTGTCACCACTATATTTACAACCTGTTCCATTTTCTCTGTAGGGTGTGCAACAGACACGTGTTCCTTAAGCTCATGTTCACTTGGAAATTCCATTTCGCATTTGGAACATGTGAAGGCAATGTATTTCTGCTCATGAGTTGCCATGTGTTCTTTGCACATTCGTTTGCTTATAAAACATTTTCCACAAGTGTCACACTTGAAAGGCTTTTCACCAGTATGTTTGCGCATGTGCACAATCATAGTGATTTTCTGGGAGAAACAAGCTTTGCAAACACTGCATTGGAAAGACTTCTTGCCTGTATGACAGCGCATGTGTTGATTCAAGCTGCTTAACTGGTAGTAGGACTTGTCACACATGTTGCACTTAAACGATTTCTTATTCAAATGGGTGAGCATATGGCGCTTCAGGTCTTCGTTCTGAAAGTACCTTTTCTTGCAAATTCCACACACAAAATTACGGACTTGTGAATGAAGGAACATGTGGCGACGGAGATGAGTGGCCTGAACAAAAGCCCTTCCGCAGACCTTACAAACAAACGGCCTCTCACCACTGTGGATTCGCTCGTGGTTAATTTTTCCCGCCTTTTCAGTGAACCTCTTCCCACAAATGTCACAGGAGAATGGCTTTTCTCCCGTGTGTCCCAACATGTGACGACTGAGGTGTCCCATGCTTAAGAAACCTTTGTCACACTCCTCACACCTATAGTTCTTTCGTTTCATCTCTTTTACATTGTGGAAAGCAATGAGGTGTTTCTTCAAAGTTTCTGGATCCTTGTATTTCTTATCACAGTGCTGGCAGTCATAGTTCCTGTCCATTACGTGGACATACATATGACGCTTCAAATGACCCTGTTGGAAAAATCTTTTGTGGCAGACATCGCACTCAAATTTTCTATCCTCCACATCAGGGTGCTGTTTCATGTGATTCTGGTAGGCAGAAATTCCAGTTAACACTTCATTACAGTACTGGCATTGATAGAGTTTGGGTGCATTGGGATCTATGCCATAAGCTAAATCTTCCTCATGCCTTTGCTCATGTTTCTTCAGGTATCTAAGAAGATGGAAGCTTTTTCCACATAAGGTGCACAAAAACCCATTCTCATTATGGAACATTTGTTCGTGATCTCTCAAATGGAACTTGAAAATGAATGTCTTGTCACATTTATTGCATTTGTGTTTCTTTTCTGCATGCTTGGTGTACCAATGAACTTTCATTTTCCTCTTCAATGGGAAAGTCAACTCACACTCTGGGCATTTGAAGGGATTTTCTTGGGAGTGACATTCCTCTAAATGTGCTATTTTCTTTGTCAAATTCAGGGAAACAACATCACAATAGTCACAATGTAATGGTGTTTTCCTCTTTCCAGAAGAATGAGTCCTATCTCCAAACAATGACACATCAAATTGATCAGGCTTGTTTTCATCTTCTGGAGGCCCAACCCTCCCTTTCCCCAACTTTTTGTATCCATGACATTTCATCTGATGAATATGCATGTCATACTTTCTCAGAAAACTTTTAGAGCAGACTTCACAAATAAAAGACTTTTCCCCTAAGTGTATCTCATAGTGTCTCTTAAGAATGGCCAGTGTTTTAAACTTCATATGACAGTCTGGACATTCTGTTCCTTTCAGTGCCTTGATTGGATTAAATGGCTCCTCTTCCTCCTCTGATTCTGGGTCACCTTTCCTCTTCTTCCTTTTCACTTTCTTCAGTTTTGTCCCTGGTGGTACATCCTCTGGCCGTACAATGTTCCCTGCTGCTATTTTAACATAGCCATGAATCGTGACCATGTGATACTCCATATCCCATGCTCTTTTGAACTTCTTTACACAACCATCAACTTTACATTCCACACTTTTTCTTGCATTGTGATATTCAACATGCTTCTGAAACATGAGTTCATTCTTCATGGTTTTGTCACATAACAGACATTTAATTCTACCATCCTTCAAATCCTCCCTGATGTCTTCATTCTCATCTTCACTGTCATCACCCTTTTCTCTCTTGATATTCACCTTTCTTTTGGCATTATCCTTCAGATTTTCCATTGCCTGCTCAATATTCTCTGCTCCTTCTGTTTCATCCTTCACTTCACCACTGTTTTGTAATTCATAAGGTAAATCTGATTCATCTACCTGTGTACTACTCTCCAAACCTATGCCCTGTACCTCAGCCAGAAAGTCATTATCTGCAACAGCATGAAGTTCCAACCCATCATTTTTCATGTCTTCATTTTTATTTTCAGCAACTATCCCTTCGCTTGCAATTTCTGTTTCCATCTCTTTAGAAGTTTCCTCATCATGAGCTTCAGTCTGATGTTGAAGATTTACTGGGAAAGTCTGCTGCCTAATCTCACAATCCAACTCCTCATTCTTAAGATGAGACGGATAATGCTTCTTCAGCTCCTGGACATCTTGGAATTTTTTTAAGCAAACAGGACAGACTGGATTCTCCTCCACCTCGGGGGAGATCGCTAGGGCCGTCTCCACTCTCTTCCTTTTGACCTCTGGTTTGACAGCCTTGACCTTCTGGGGGGATTGATGGTTCTGAGAGTCATAGAACTCCTCTTCATATGGCTCACCTCCAAAACACTGGTACCAGTCCATAAAAACGGACTTCTGCTGGAATTTGGCATTTGGGATTTCTTGATCTGAAATATAATGAAGAAAAAATGGAGTAACTGTTATGAAGGTGAAAAACTCAATACATGTATTTGTTGCAAGGGATCATGCCAATAAGTGAGTTTATGCCCATTTCAGAAATTGTATATTTTTAAAAAACTTAGAACTCTCTGTTGAGACTGTAGCTCTACTGGTTTGTACTTATAACGAAGGAAGAAAAAGTAGCAGTTGGACTGGACACATTACAATATCATAAACAGAATAAAATCCTTGATTTCGTCTCTCTTTTGTGGCAAGATTGCAATTAGATTAAAACTATAGGAGATGTAGGTTTTAAAAAGAATTTAAAAGAAATTTGGATTTTAGTAAAATTGGCAACATCATTCATCAAAATCATAAAAGGATAAAGATAAAATTAGCTATCTAAGTCTAGTCTCCTTGCATGCCATGTTATATTAAAATCAGACCAATCTCTAGGAGTAATAATTTCATAGAAAACTCTATCTCTAGTAACCATGGCAACACCCTTCATCAAAAACCAATGCACTAAATAACATATCTTGGTGTAGTCTGCTTGTTTGCTAAATGATACTGAAACTGGATCATATAAACTGTAGCAGGAGTAGTGCTGAGAAGAAATTGCACAAAAAATTTATTTTTAGTAACTCTGGCAACACCGTTCACCATATCAGAAACCGATGCACTTAAGGGGGCCGACTATAGTTTCCATTGCGCAATATTTCGTGCATCATAGTAAAAAAAAGTTGCATATGAAGCGTATTTACTGTTTTAATGCAACTTTTTTCGCTTAATTATTAAAATTAAACAAAATTAAGAAATTATAGGTACAGAAATGTAATGAGATTTTGATATAACTGATTTTTAACCGATTTTGCAATTGATAGGTAGGTTGACGTCGTTGCAGTGTGTTTTTGATGTTAAGATAATCTGTAGCTCTTAAAGAAAGGGGTAATAAAAATATTATTAAAGAAAAAGTAATAAATATATGCTTTTGAAATTTAAAACATATAAATTTGAGATAATCTCCAATATTTTTATGACGTTTTCACGTGAATCCATGGTGTACGTCATATTTTGTAATACTCTATAAAAATAATAAAATTTGCTAATTTTTTGCATTTTGAGATACCCCCTCTGGTAACAAGGCGTAGAATTTTGTGTTTCTTATATATATTGTATAGTATAGCATTACTCATCAAATATTATAGTTTGAACAAAATGTCTATTGTAGTATTTGTATAATTTGCTTTAAAGTGCTAAAAATTGGCATTTTCCTATATAATCCTATAGTAAATGTACCTGTATTTTGAGATGGTCCCTCAAAAATACCTGGATGGTAGATTTTCCCCAAACTTTGCATCTACACTGGAGTTAATGTAAGTTATATATGGTATAAAAATGAAGAGTTTCGCTATTGTAGTTTTCACACAATAAAACTATAGTCGGCCCCCTTAATTACGTACCTTAGTGTGGTCTACTTGTGTGCTAAGGTATACTTCTATCAGACTAAAACTGAAGTTGTTTACAGACACCTTACTAACACATAAGCTCTTCTGGATTATTCAAAATATTTGTTACTGTATGATTAACAATACATCTTTAGCAAATCATCCACTTGGTATTAATTTATAAATACAAAATTACTATATGAATTTTTAAGATATGCTTTTAAATAAGTGCCTATCTGCAGAGCCATACTAACTTGAATAGATGTCTCCGCCATACCTGAACAGTAAGCCACAAAGAGATTCTTCAGCTCCACTCGGTCTCCGAGGAACTGAAGCCCTTTAGTAGACCCCGTGAATCCAAAATCCTCCATCCCCATCACAGAGGTGAGCACCAGACTCTCCACGCCAACACAAGACAGGTCTGACACCTACCACAATAATTCTATTTTAATTAAAACAATTTTTTTTCACATATTAAATTGAGTTGAATGATAAATGTTGAATAGCAATTACAAAATATTTTAGGCTTTCTCTAACTATATGTCAATAAAAAAATCATTAAAAAATACATTAAATAAACACTCAAATATTTCAAATGAATATCAGGCTGAGGTATTCAATTAACATTTCAATAGTTGAGGGATGTGGAGATTGGAGACTGATCCTTTGGATGAGACCATATAAACCGAGGTCCCGTGTCATAATGCTGGCACAAAAAAGATCCCACACTGCTCAATGGCCCTTAGTGCCATGCGTAGAACAAAATATGCAGCTCTCCATCAGCAAGTGGTGGCATCTCCACATGAGTGAAAAATTCTCCAGAGGGACATTAAACAATGTAGAATCAATCAAAAATTTCCAGAATTTTAAGTGTTGTCAATGTGAACTGCAGGGTTGTTACTTAAGATATCAAATAATCTTATTTTTGTTGAATAGCAGAAAATGTATTTTATCCTTTTAATTCTATTACCGGTAATCTTTGAATGAAAATTATCACATGTTATTTCAAAACTACATGCATCTCCTACACATCAGATTGTAAGTAAAACAAGCCCTACCATGCTTTGTAGCTGTTTTTCCACAATCTTCCAGATAAACTTGGAGTGCTCTCCCTTCTGAGATTCTTTCATCATTTCACCTTTTATAAGAAAAAAAATGAATGGAACTCTAAAATCTCAAAAAAATCTCAAAAAATCAAATATCAAATCAAATTGGTGTGAAGATACTAAATATTAAAACATTGCTTAAGCTTTTCTTTTTTTCTTAAATCAAAAATGCATACTTGTATGTAATGAATCATATACAGATATACAAATAGCAAATAGAGGATTTACTTTTCTAAAATAGATAAAAGTTACATGTTGAATTTCTTATAATTCATGTAATGAAAACAACGATTAAAAGTAAATAAACTATATAGAGGTACAACGTTAATTCACTGAAAATAAACCCATTAAGATGATACTTGTAATCCGTCCTCACCCCTGTTATTTAGAACTTGATTGAGGAACTCCTCTGTGAACCCCACCCTCTCCTCCAGGAACCTGACCCCCTTCTCTGAGCCGTTATACTGGAAGGTATACCCCCTCAGCCAGTTAGTTATAAGTAACACCTCAATTCCAGCCTCCTTTAGGATATTCACCTAAAAATATTCAAGTTTCTTTTATAATTTTTGAAGTACAAAGGAAACATCTACTATATGAATTGGTTTGCTTTTGTATCATCAACTTCCATAACTGTAAACCAACTTTTATTCACATGCGCGAAATTTTCGTGAGAGAATTAATCGCCATCACGAATATTTCTCACTGTGAATCAGTCCTTAAAGTTTCTGTGTCTATTAACGACAGATCCAAAAAAGATTTAATCATTGCGAACTAGTTTACCTGTCGTAAGTTGCGAAGTAAAGTCATCATGAATAAAAGTTGGTTTACAGTAATCTATCATTAAATTACAAATGACTTCAATACATCTCTCTCTCCCTCTAAAAACTCCACCATCTTATAAACATTTCAAAAACATATTTGTCAAATGTAAATACTGAAGATTCCTAAATATATGCGTGGAATTAACTATCGCGTAATTTCGCGAGAAGCACCACACGCGAAATAAAATTACTCGCCTTTATCTTTATGGTGCTGAAATTTATGTAAAATCTCTTGATCAACCTTTCATTCGCAATTATAATTCTGACTCGCGATTTGCAATTGAAGATCCCATTCACAATAATAAGTACTCGCCAAAAATAAGGAATCTACAGTAATCAAAATAGTCCACTTTGCAACTGAGCCACAAGTAAACTTAAAAATAGGTATTTTAAAACCATATATCTGTAATAAAATATAGAATTACCAGGGTCAGTAACTGAGGTTGAACCGACTCCCACATGCAACTCTTCTCCAGATTGTTCTCATCTTTGTCGTATGCCCCCTGATCAGATTTCAGTTTTCTTTTCCTCCCTCTTTTCTTTGGGGTCTTTTGAGGAGTGGATGTTTTACCAAGATCTTCTGAGGTAGATCCAAGATTTTCTTCACTTCCTGACTGTTTTTCTGTGGTGGATCCACTGTTTAAAGCATTAGATAGAGGTATCTTTCTTGGCCTGCCCCTCTTTCTTTTTACGCTTGTTTCTGCTGTAGCAACTGTCACTGAAAATTAATATATATATTTTACACAAATAAGTTTAAATGCATCATAATCTGCTGAAAATCTGTCAAAAAATACCATTAAATCTTTTTCTCTGAAATTCTTCCAGGAAAATATGTTCTAAGCAAACAATATTTAATATCTCCAAGATTCAGGGGCAGCTTAACTTTTGTATTTCAAACAATGTTATCTCAAAAAAAACCATGGATATATTGAAGTGAATTGGATGTCCAAAACATTATTTTTAAAGCATTTTACTCTTGATATCTCAGATCCTTCGATATCTTAAAGTTTTTTCTTGGTCCCATTGAGTTTAAGTTCATGAAGTCTGCCTTTAGAATTTTTTTGTTCCCCCAATAGCTGTCTAAGTGATAATCTACATGTACTTTCCAGTTTCCAATAAAACTTATGATGATAAGAGAGCTGCACTACACAAACACATGGATAGTTAGGCCTTGATACTGTAGAAGTACTTTTTTCCGCGTGGTTTTAATTTACGCTATGTATGCGGTCACAAATTTTCTGCGGAAATTTGTCCATGCGTACTTAATATAAATGAAAGGCATATAGTGAAAGTCTAAGAAATCCGCATAATTTTCAACCCACGGATTAAATGAAAATTGAGATTCCGCGGAATTATGACCCCGTGGAAAAAAGTACGGCTACAGTAAATAGTGTGTTGCCGGTTCCCAGCCCAAACCTAAAATTATATATGAGCCGACCCTGAAAAATTTGTCCACCACTATCTTTCCGGATGTAAACAATTCTTGTTTTGCTATTAGAAATCCTAACCTCAATCACCTCTGTGTACGAAAAAATGCATATCATATGCACATAAAGCAAAAATGTTTATACTGTGATTTCCACAGTAAAAAAAATTACAGCATGCTTGCCAATAAAATGTTAAAATAAAATAAAATGTTTCCCTACTTACCTACCCTATTTTTTCTCAGGTTGGAATAGGAAATACTCTATTTATTTATCTTGGCCTTATCTTATATATTGAAAACTTCTTAAGGGTTTTATTAAATAAAACGTACACTTTACTGCACGAACCATTTACTGACTTGTCTGGTGATGACTTTTCCCCAACTTCCTCTCCATCTGAATCTGATGAACTTTGACCTTCGGAATCTGCATCCTCTGACCTGTTGACCTTCTTTCCTGTTACATATGAGGAATACTTCTGGTTTGGTTTTGGTGTTCTTAGACTCCTTCTGCCATTTCTGGAAGCCATTTAATCTAAAAGTGACAGATATTATAATTTTTTAAAAACAAATTTATAAATAACATATAACTGCTCTTGTAAGAATCGCCTGAAAATGTCATAAAAATAAAGGAATATTTCTTGTACATGCGTACATGTTGTATGCTGAAATATTGTTTATTTAAGAAACAAGGTATCATTTTCAAACATCTATAGGGATATAAATACGGGTTGGTCACGAGATCAAATTCCATAAAGCCAGAAGGTACATATGTAATTCCTAACACGAACAAAAAGAAATGCTCATGCACGTACAGAATCTTGCTTGGTTTAGCAAACACCTAACTTGCATTTTTATTATATTGCACATAAAACTTGCATGAGGAAATCTTTTTAGTCTAGTCCTCATGTGAGCGATGCTGATGATCAAATTGTGAGAATGGTTTACAGGCGCAAAACAAAAAGTGGTACATCGATGTATTATATGGTAATGAAACAAAAATTTCTGTACATATGGTTGATCATAAACTCAGAATCAGAACACACACTGAAAAGGTTCAGGCTGCATTATTAAAATGAAGAACATAGCATATAATGATAAGTGTGTTTCATGTGCCGATGTATTTGAGATTTTACGTTAATTGCAAATATATTAACATCAGTGTTTTCCATAAGAACCGACTACAAGCCAAATTGACCATTTCGATTGACAAAAATGCTGCTTTGAAATAAAAATTAATTACAAGGTCCACAGAGACTCTGTTCATAAACCTCTGCCCCTAGCCTGTTACAACTAATCTCTAACCCTCTACTTTGAAATAAAGGGAAAACACTGAACATTTACCATGTTTACAGAAATTCATGAATTCATCTTCTGACACAAGAAAAAATGTAGATAAATGGGGAAAATATTTAACCTTACATGGAAAAACCAATGTTAATTTAATGAACATGAAAACAATGGGAATTCGTAAAGTTACAAAAAGGCATGCAGGTGCGCAATAATTTGATTTTTTTTTAAGAATAAATATTTTCCGTTTGAAACCGAGTCTTCCTGTGTCAAAAGTATCCGATGTTCATTGATATTTAGGCTTTTATTTGATTAACGATTACATTATGATTGAAAATGAACCAAATCTAATTTTTAATCAAGCATTCTTGCGTAAAAAGCGTCATAAATCATGAAAAACAAGCATATAAGCAGGAAAAATAATTTTGAAGAAAAATGGCGGACTCGGTTCAAGATGGAAAATATGTTAATGAACTGAATTCTGGAAACATTTCAATTCCATACATTGCAACAAAAAATGTGCACTTTTCAATTTAAACTAAAGAAAATGTAGCGTACATACGAGTTTGCAGAAAGACAATGATAAATACTCACTATTTTGCAGCTTTGAAGTATATCTACGACCCGGATGACAAAATTTGTCCTTTCCGGTTTTTGTAAGTAACGAAATGAAATGTCCGTTTTAATCCGGAATGTCTTTGCGAATGAAAAGATTTTTTTTTAATTAAAAACTATTTGTTTGTTTGTTTGCTTGTTCTTTTATCTATTTATTTATTTATATGATTGTGTTACCCGTTATTAAAAAAGATCAGAAGGGGTAGAAAATAAGCTTTAAATAGGCATATTTATATGAGGCGCCGTTATAATATTTTTGAGGTATTTTCTGATATCGAAAAAGAAATTATTGATATCAATAATTCGAATTCTTGATATCAAAAAATATTTTTTGATATAAAAAATAATTTTTGATATCAAAAAATAGATTTTTTGATATCAGAAATTCATATTCTGATATCAAAAATTCGAATTCTTGATATCAAAAAATGATTTTCTGATATCAGATAATCGAATTTTTGATATCAAAAAATCTTGTTTATATTCTGATATCAAAAAATCTATTTTTTTGATATCATTAAATGATTTTTTGATATCAAAAAATAGAATTTTTGATATCAAAAAATCATTTTCTATGGAGTGCCATATACGACAGCCAACTGCTTACTGCCAACTGTCAGCTGCTTACTGCCAACTGCCACACATATTTGAATAAATTTTATATTTATATTGATATTTATATGAATTTTCAAAAAAAAAAAAAAGGCGCGGGACGCGGGTCTAGGAATTAGATTGACTAAATGCCATTATGTTTTAATTTATGTAATATTCAATATACAGTGTATGCCATTGATAAAATACATTGTATATTTTTATTTTCTTATTTGAAATACATGTAGGTAATAAAATGACTATTTTCTGTTTTTAATCTTAAAAGAAGTAACACCCCCACCCCCGGAGACAACAAAACCTTTGAAGAGAGAAAATTAAAAAAAGAAGATTTGTCGTTTCGCAAGATAAAGATGTTTTGAAAATAAATTTATATTTTCCATTATATTCTATATAATTCCCTCAAATTAAAGATGTATATTTTACGGGATGATTTCGTCCGTCTACTATACTGATTCTGGGTCAACCGTGAGCTTTCCTCTTATTGTTGAACCCAGATTCTTTAAAACCTCAAGATACAAACACGAGTTACTAATTTTTTACTTTTATATAGAATCAGCAAGGAATATACTTTTACATGAGTTTGGGATGTGTCAGCACCGAAGGTCTGATTCCAACTGACTATAATTTTTCAAACAATTATTGAGCGAATGGTGACATTTTAGCAGTATGTATATAACAGAATTAAAGATGAAAGATTAAGTGTCAATAAATATAAACAGATGTCAATTAAGGAATTAACTGTCCAATCTCTGACTATGCCTCAGGTGGGATTAAGGCTGTGCGGAATTTATATTATTGATCACATTTGCCGAAACATAAGAAAAGTTTTGACAATAATTTATACAAAGTCCGAAAAGTTAATTTACACTTATTTAAAATAAGTCCAAAAATGTTGTATTTTACACCGTAACACATGCTCCGTCTTCGCGTAAAACACGTCCTCGTGTTTTGAATTTTTTTTCCTCAATAAAATCGGCCTCTTCTTGGTCTTTCTTGACATCTCCGGGATTGAAAATGGCGTCGGTTTTCTAAAATGATGGATTCTAGATGATCTCTTTCGTCCTGCAATGATTCAATGGTCTGCATCAGGGCGTTGTTTTTTCCCCTACTTGTTTGGTTGTCTTCTCAGCTCCTTGTTGAATTTTCATTACGTATTGACTATAGTCCTTTCCGATGTCGTTTAATTTCCTCTGCATTAGGTCCATAATCACTCTATCACCGTGCGCGTCTTCTTCTAATTTACGAATTTTCTTAAGGTAGATGTTGTCTTTTGAATTGTTCAAATGATCCTGCATGTTCTTTTCCATTTTGATATTTTCATTTTGAAGTTTTTCTATATCAGCCTCGGAATTTCTGAGTTTAACCGACATACTCTTATTTAGTTCACTAGACTTGCGGAGTTGAGCTTTTAGAATTTTCAGCTCATTTCGTAGATTGCAAGAGGTATCACACAACGAACGAAAATGACTGTCTCGAAGAGAACTAAACGGTAACTCTCTCAAAATCCGTTTGTTTTCAAGGTAACTGCACAGTCGTTTCATGTCTCGCGCTTGTTTTCTGCTCGGAACTGGTCCTTTATTCACGGGTTTTGGCTCTGTTTTCTTCATCTGTGTCTAACACATCCTTGAATAGTGTCCAATTCTGTGACATCTGTAGCATTTCTGGTTAAATGCAAATCATGAAACGTCTGGGTGCATATTTCCACACCTTCCGCACACTGGATGCTGACATGAAGGGAAGTTGAACTTTTTCTGTCTCCACTGCGGTCGGAAAGAATACTCCATAGCTGATCCTAATACGTCCGCTTCATCTGCATCTGCACTGTCAATTCTGGGGAAACTCGCTATTAAGCTCTTGTAGAGGTCCAGGATCTGACTACTACAAAGTATATGTAGCAGCCCCGGGTGTCGTTACCCTTAGGGTTCTCACACCAAGTTTTACGGAAATGATTTCGTCCTCTACTACTGATTCTGGGTCAACCGTGAGCTTTCCTCTTATTGTTGAACCCAGATTCTTTTAAACTCCAAGACACAAACACGAGTTGCCAATTTTGTAGTTTTATATACGGAATTAACATGGAATAAACTTTTACATGAGCTTGGGATGTATCAGTACCGAAGGTCTGATTCCAACGGACTATAATTTTTCACAACAAAACATGCATACTGATCAAAGACAGATTAAAATAAAAGAATTAACGACAGTTATATAGAAATCAAGTATCAAACAATTATTGAGCGAATGGTGACATTTTAGCAGTATGTATATAACAGAATTAAAGATGAAAGATTAAGTGTCAATAAATATAAACAGATGTCAATTAAGGAATTAACTGTCCAATCTCTGACTATGCCTCAGGTGGGATTAAGGCTGTGCGGAATTTATATTATTGATATTATTGAAACATAAGAAAAGTTTTGACAATAATTTATACAAAGTCCGAAAAGTTAATTTACACTTATTTAAAATAAGTCCAAAAATGTTGTATTTTACACCGCAACATATATCTCTGTGTGTTATAATGTTTCACATGCAAATATCTTGGGGGTGGGATGGGACATTTAAGATTTGTACAGTCATGGGTTAATGTATAAACTAAACGAACTAAAACTGATCTTGGACCCTCCACGTAGAAAACGCCGATCAAACATTTATATTTCTTTGTTTTTTACAAATATGATATGTTTTAAATGCATAGATCTAGAGAGAGAGGTCCAGACCACCCCTCTGAAATCTGTAAAGTTATTTAATGCACAAATTAAACCAACTAAAAGTTATTCAATGTATAAATTAAATCAACTAAAGGGACTTTAGACCCCCCCTCCCCCCGAAAACGCGGTTTCGTGTTAAGTTTTTATATAACAAATGTCATAGACATAAAGGTATGACGCATGAGAACCCCCTCTCCCCAGCCGAAATAAATTTTCACATTAAGGAAAGGACTTTACGTTTTTTTTCCTGTCAAGAAATTTCTGGGTTGGATTTTTTCTTAACATGAGTGACCCTCTTGCAAAAAATGTTCTA